TGTGAGTGACACCATTCACATACATAATAGTCATGTGATACACTGTGAATAGTGATGGGAATTGATAAGAATTGAACGATTCCAATTCCATTATCGATATTGCTTATCGATCCGATTCCTTAACGATTCTCTTTGGGTGAGGGAATAAGTACAAATGTGTTTGTTTGTATTAACTCGCTTTAATATCAGATCAGAAGACACAGCACAGAGTATACACAAATTATGTGTAGCAACCTCAGAACAAACCTAAAAGTAGGTGAGCTACTTCTCAAAGTAAAGTCATCATCATCTAAATTTGATGGACAATGACAATGGCGATTATTCGTATAGTAAAAGTTCACACAATGAAATGGCGCTCACATTAACTAAGTAGACAGGGCCTGTCCTGCCTAAAGAGTTTGACGTTACATTCAGCATTAATAACAGATGGCGTCCCGTTAGCTCCGCTGCTGCTTGACTCATTTGTGTCGCTTAGTAGTACTGTATCAAACACGTGACAGTCCTGCAAATGAATTGCATGCTGTGTGGCCAAATGTTTCTGCATATTGGAGGTAGCTCCCCCCTTTGACGAAGTGTTGCAAGTGACCGTATTGTCGTCTTTTTGCGTGAAATATAACCAAACTTTAGAGCGCTTCTGCCTCGACGCCATGTTTGCTGCGTTCTGAACCAAAACAACGCAGCGTGTGTGTGACGTCATGACGCATTTGCAACGAGCTGAACCGATAAGCGGAATCGTTAAGCAGGCATGCTAACGGTTCCAATGAATCGATTCACTGGGCACCGGTTCTGAAGAAGAACCAGTTCTCAATTCCCATCCCTAATTGCTAATATAAAAAAAGCTGTTTTATTAATCTAAAAATCTCCTTATTGGGTTATAATCACTACAACTGCTACTGGAGAATCAGAAAAATGTCCTTCAGAGCACTTTGTAGTAGAGGTAGTGAGGTTAAAACAGTGATTATCCTTTATTGTCCCATCCTTTTGTGTTATATTTGTCTCATGTGTAATGAAGCATCTTCACCCCAGTCAGGTATCCTACAGGTTGATGCCATAACAGCAGCTGCATGGCGGCGCGTCTTTACACCACTAAGGAGGAAATCAAAGACTCCAAATCTCACAAGTGTCCTGGCAGCCTCTCTAACAATGAACGCTGGAAGGCTGGCTGCCATCAGCTGAATTTTTATCACAGAGAAAAACTCCTGCGCTTATTTATTTGAAAACAGGTGAATTCTGCGTCTGTTGTGCTCAAAATGCTTCAAGTCTTTCTTCTAAGACAGGCGATGAGATAGGCAGTGAGAGTTGAGTGAATTCTGACTGCAGGGTGGACACAATAACAGGAACTTCCCCAAAATATAATTTAATCCATCACAGACAACCTGAAAAACAGTAGAACGGAATAAATGCTTTTCTCACACCTTGTCAACAAAAACTGCAGATGGTAAGATTCACAAAAGTTAGTTGTTTTTTGCAGAGAAGTTGTATTGCCATGCATTAACCTGCACAGATATTGTGGCTATTGTTCCATATCACAGAATATGTTGCTATTGTGTCCATTTCTATTCACGTAGGCTACATAAATGAGTGAGAGTGAATGGAGAGACTCAGATCCTGCTCATGAGTCATGTAACTCTCATCTTCATCCTCTGCTACCTGAAGCGTGTAGCTGTCTTATCTGCAAAAGTTGTTTACTTATTCAAGTACTGCCTGATGCCTCGAGTCATACAAGGGAGAAGATTATGAGGAATTAAGTCTTTTTTTTTTTTTTTAAACTCTGTCGGCGTTGTCCTTGTTCGAGTCACTGTCAGTTGTGCTTGAAGTTGCGACCTGGCAGAAAGAAACTGCCACTATGTCAACATATGAACACAAAACACATTTCAAGGATAGTGTCTCATCTGCTGTAAAACCATACAGCAACATGTTCAAAGTGGAAGGGCGATGAAGGACAGGCAACGGGTCATTTTTTTTTTACGAAAGGGGCCTACATACAACTGTTTGCCTATAGCCTTGTCACCCTTTGTTACTGTTTATACGCCTGTCAAGCTTTCCATTCTGGCACAATGATACTGATTGAACTCACAGTCATTTTTCAAACAACAGGTTTTAAATTTTACAGAGAAGTAAACAAAGGCAGTCTTCTTATTTTAAGCCAGGAACCATGGATTTTGTCAGTTGAAATGACCATAGTAGAATAATAAACTAATACTAACATTAAAACTCTGAGTTATAACTAATAATACACAGTGCAGGGGGAAGCAGAAAATCCAGTTGGTCTTATTTGAAGCCTCTACCCAAAGTAAAAATTTCAGTTTTACAAAACACAAAATGAACATACAGAAAATAATAAAGCTACATTAAAAGTGATAGCAAACTAATAATAAGACCTTAGTGAAAGCTGTTTGTTAGTCTGCGTTTGATTCATGTCTTCTTCTGTGTCACAAAGTTTCCTTTATCAGTGAAAAGTACATCTGTTGACGTCTCATGGCTCTGCTCGTCCTCGTTTTCCTCAGGTGTCCTTGCAAAGGCCTCTTTTTGTGCCTACACTTGAGGCTACACGGACAGCTCATCAACAGGATCAGTTGGGTTAGTACTGTACAAGTGATATTCTTTTAACTCCCTACCTCAATGACCTAGCTGACCGCTTTAATCAGAAATGCTCCACCTTAGATAGAGTGGCTCCCCTCAAAAATAGAATTAAAACAAGTTATAACCTTGGACAAATAAAAGCACTCTTAGCTGTAAAGGAGAGTGCATAAAGGTTGAGTGGAGGTGGAAGAAAACGGGTCTTCAGGTTTACAGTGTGGCTATGAAAGAGCATCTACTTCATCGATGACACCTCCTGGGCTCCACATAATCATTAAGATTTATAAATCTAACGCAACAATCCGAACTGTAGAGCAAAGTGAAAAAGACTGAACTGAACACAGAAAGTATAGTGATTGAGGAAAGGTCTGTGTGTGCGCGCCGCTGCCCACTAAAGTCACACAAATGATGGCTTTTATCCTGGAGCTGGAATGTGAGGGAAAAAAGCCCTATTGTCAGATGATGATGACCTGTGTGCACAGTTGGCAGTTAACCTACACAGCTACTATCTAGTTTTCATTATTAAATAGTGGCTTTGTGGCTTTGTTTGTAAGTGAGAAAGCATCTGATGTTCAGCAAACGTTACACTTTCTAATATACAGCAGACAAATAAAGAGCAGGGCAGACAATCGTTATGATATTAATGTACAGGAACATATTTTACTATTCAAAAGCCGAGACCGGGACCATTAAGTGTACTTTAAGTACTTTCAAACGTGGACGTGTATGCACATACCATAGAAACATTATTTTCAGCAATTAGCACACATACCAAGAGCACCTTTCAATACCACGGATGCCATGAACATAGCATTTTCTTTTTCTTGGTACTTTACAAAAGAGTAAGCCTCCTGGAGCTCTTTAGAAAAGACAGACTTTCTCTCTGGCACGATAGCTCACTGTGCTGACAGGTTCTGTCATAGCTTCTGATGCCTGCCAATGACAGATAGGCTAGCAGCCTTGACAACGACACATTGATGGATTGACACACATACAGGCAAATTAATATTGGATTCCGACGTGCGTTGATTATGTTTTTATATTGGGTAAGGTGTAATGAGAGAGACAGAACATGATAAATGTCTAAGTGCTGAAAACCAGTGAAATAATACAATTATTATTGATTATATTATATTATATGATTTTTGAAAACCGGAGCATTTTAGTGTTGTGTATAGTGTTACAGAAACAGTATTAGTCAGGAACTTGGGACACCCAGCTTGAAACCGGGACAATCCCGGACAGTTAGCTGATGAGATGCTGCTTGGCTGCTCAGTTACTACTGTAGGTTATAAGCTACAGTTTGCAGCTAGCTGTGTTTTTGGTTTTGGGAAGGCTAACATAAAGACAACCACACCCTGCAAATGTTTTTTACTGAGTATAGCTAGGTATGTGTACATCAAAAGCTTGACATGTCTGCCATGCCTAGTTACTGTTGCTAAGCTGTGACTGACAATTGCTGTTAAGAACAGAGGTTTAGCATTTGGTGAATTTTTATTTATTTAGATTTAAAGACAAACATGTGCCAAAAGTGCTTTTGCAATAACTTTTACTCTAGTCTTCTTTAAATAAAAATCTTCTTGCAGCTTACATGAAGGTTTTAGACATACATGACTTTTTCAGTGTTTTGCACAGCTATGATAGCAGAGCTGCACACTATTAATACAGTATGTATCCATTTCACACGATTAAAATAAAACTGTGCCTCCACAGTGTAATACAGCACACACTCATGTATGTGTTTTTTTTTTTTTTTTTAAGTGTATTGTGGACACCTTTTACCACACCTGGGATGAATGTTTTTTTTCTGTTTAGAGAAGCCTCATGTTTTGTTTTACTTGGATTAATGCTGAGTTATAATTCAGTTCAGGGGTTATGTGTCCCACCGGATGCAATCAAAGTGAACGGTGCTCTGCATATCTCAAACCAAGTGCTGGAAACAATCTGCGTAAAGTGCTACACTGTTTAGAGACAATATATTCAATCACACCTCGATATTCTCCTCTGAAATGCCAGTAGAAAGGTCAAAATTAAGTTTGAAATTCCACACAGCACACCTGCCACCATATAGCTTTGAGAACAATAGGAACTTGGGTTACTAAAATCCTCTTTTCTGCTGCAGAGTTTGTTCCCACAGCTACACGACCATAAAACCACAGAGTGTAAAGTTCTCAAGATGACCTTCTGTTTGCTGTCTAATGAAATTCATGTAAAGTAGAGAGATATGCAGTTTACTTAAAATGACTTTCTTGCTGGATCTTTCTTATCTCGTAAACAGTCAATCTGACAGCATGAACACACCCGGGAACAAATCAAGCTGCAGTGGCAGATAATCTCCCAGCAAATGATTTTGGGATCAGATTCATTAACAGAGGGTATTATTGCTTTTTCAGATATAACACAAACATCGGAGAACAGGCTTCAACACATTTACCGCCACTTTAATTCAAAAGAAATACAACATGTTAGATAAAAGGCCATTAGAAACCTCTGTTTGTCGTTAATGGTACCAATGTAACAATTACTAATGACATGAAATGTTTGACACGTTTTGTTATTCATGGAAGTGTAGCACCACAGAGGTCCTGCACCAGTCCACATGACCGGTTGGCTTATTGAGTTAGGAGCATGTTATGATATAATTATAGATAAGATTGTTGTATGTAGTTATTCTTTCTGAACAGTTTTAAAGACCAAAAGCGTAGTTTTTATAGTGGTGATACAATTTCATGGATTGCTCTGAACTTGCCATCTGACTTTGAATGGTTTTGAGCTTCTTCTTTTTTGGTGATTTACCATTGCCCAAAATATACTATTAATGATATTCATTGAAAATGATTATCATACTTTCAATAAGTCAACGTCCACATCATCTGGGAATCACAACATACAACTGTAAACATTTAATGTTCACTTCATATTTACACGATTCTGTGCATTTGAAATACTGCATGACATTTCTCTCCAGAGACAACAAGGAAACCTGCACAAAGGAAAAATCAAGTTATAAACAACTTTAGGCTCATATTTTAAGGCCCTTTGTACTATGATCCAGATATCTCTGGTGTGGACATAAGTGCACTGTTTCAGTTTCCACAAAGGCTGAGCTCGAGTCCTCACACAGTTACGTCTGAAATAGTTTAGCCCCACCTCTACTCAACACAGGCTGATTTTGAAAGAAACAGAAATCAAAGAGCCAGAAAAAGCAAAGAAAATATTTCTGATTTCTTGGGTAAGAGAGCTGACACCCAAACTGAAAACAGAAAAACAGACAGTATTATATAATATTTCAGTGTGAATGCACAAAGACTGGAAAGTAGGACCTTCGAAAAACTTATTTTTCAATGTATAATGAGACAAGAAATGTTACTGTGTTAAAATCACTGAAAAAGTGCATGCAAATGCAAACCAACAAAGACCTGTCTTAAGAATCCGACAACAGATAACTTCTTGAATTTCAGTGATATTTCCTGAATAATTCTGTAACTAGACTGTACCAGGTTTGTTAAAATGTAGATTCAGCTGCACTCACAGATTCCTCAACTATCCCAAATATTCTATTTCTCAGTTACTAACCCAAATTGAAAATACTCATAGTACACGAAATTATATTGTCTTAATCTGTTAATTTTAACAAATTGTTTACTGTTTGTTTTTGACAGTTTCAATAATGAAAAAGATATCCTATCACCAAGTGGTATTTGTTTCCTATGACGATATAGTTATACTGTAAGCGGAGGAATGGAAAGATCCTGCACTCTTTGTGGTAAACTGCAATGCATAATGCACGATACACTGAGAAAACATAGCAAAACATGTGAAATGAACTTAGTCAAACCATGAAGTTATGAACAGATGTAGCAGCATTTAAAAAAACTCCATCCAACTTCTTCAACACATTACAATTCTGACACAGCATGCAAACATAAGACAAAGGGGAAACAAAGTAGAAGAAAAAGAAATAAAAGACAAAACAAAACAAAACAAAAAAACACCTGCCATCACAGCAGCAAATGTGAAGAAAGAATGACAATACTGGCTCCGTTTCAACTCTTTGATGCTGCAGGAAAATATGTGTTCTACAATCAGACATTAATTCAAACTTCAGAAGTCCCTATCTGTTGTGGACTAAATAAATTATGTATATACATACAACATATTGTAGAGTGCTAGATGTAAAATAAATAACACAGAGAGTTTGGTTCTACTTCTGAAACACGGAAATTAACATTTTTTTGCAACCTTGGTGTAAATATCACATTTATATATCACATACTGGCATTTGTATGGAGGCTGGAGCGTGCTGTATAGGAAAATAATTTAACTTCTATCTAACATCTATACATTTAAATGAGCAATTATACAATTATCTACTAAATTTGCATTTGAATTACGCAATTAAATCATTATTTATGAATAAAGTTTTTAAATGATCATTAATTACATTAGTAGTTAATGAATACATTCATTCAACTTGAGTTGTTTTATTTACTGATCAGAGTTCTTGTCACATCCATTTGTTTTAGCTAGTTTCTCTTCCTCAAGCTGATATGATGACAATGAAAACTGAAAGAATCCTTTGTAAATACATTTTCTAAAAATCATGATTTGTATTCATCAATTCTTCAATACAATAATTAATCTGAATATTAATTAATTAATTAATGATCACATTAAAATCTTTTAACCCACTGATTCACATTTGCATAAATAATAAATACAGCAAATTACTTACTGAAACTGTCGTCGTTTCAGTGGCACAATCCAACTTCCACTGTCATTATGAGTCAATGTGAGCATACCCAAACGTATAGATTGTTTCACTTTAGCTAAATTAATATACACAGTGTCATAAAAAATAGAACGCTGATTCAATAAATGCCACCATTTTTGTACACTTAATTTAAACAGATGTCTGTCTGTGAATATGTTTGCAATATTAATACCAGCGAGTACATTTTCAGACCTGTTTCCTTGAGCAGCTGCTGGTATGAGTTGTGACAACTGTAGCTATAAACCTTCAGCAGGCTTGTTGAGCTGCAGAGTGCTTTCATTCCTCCCCTTGCCTCTTTATTCACACTACAAAACGTAAAAAAAAAAAAAATCACTTCCATCAAATATTTTCCTGGTTACAAAAAGTGATGCCAATGATGCCAAGGGCAACTTATCAATCACTGTCAAAACTATGTCAGCAAACAAGACGTAGCAACAGAAATTTGATCAGTGAAAGTCAACGCCCAAACCAGTTCAGAGAGGTTCAACTTGATGAGTGTGCAGATTATTTTTTCAGCATGAAATAATGATTTAAATAAGCTCTCCAGAAAAGCTTCCACAAGCTTTTAGGTTGTTTTTTAACAATGCAGCTGCACACTGCACCAGCAGCACACACTGCAGTAAGGCAGACAGTAACTCTGCTGTAGACATGAAGGGGAGAGCCGTCACATACTGTAAGCGTATATTGAGCTCAAGAGCAACAATTAAGGAGTTTATTAATTCATCAGTCATCCCAGGCTGCCCAGTTGAAGCTGTTTATGCTCGCCAACTGTGACAGGAATCTGTCTATTATCAGCATGTTAACCAATTATGGTTCTCAGATGCCCATTAAACTTTATTAAGGTCCATAAACCACAGTTTGACTCGTGCAAGTCTATTATAAATACACAGGTAAAAGTTACATTTATATACTCCTAATTAAGCAAATACATTTTGAAAGAAACGTAATGCCGCCTGAATTATGTATTTTTACCAACAAAATGGGAAACTGTGTTTTAATGAACGAATCTGACAAGTCACAAAATGTTTGCTGGCAACTTATTTTAATTGTTTTCCCTACAATACATGCTTGTACTGTAGCGACTAAAGCATTATTAACGCATTTTAGGGTTATGATTAGGCACTCACAGAATTTGGTTAAGGTCAGGGAAAGATTGAGGTCTTTGTTAAATACTAAAAAAGGTAACTTAAGACACAATTTACTTTTTTTAAATTTACCCAAAACCATAATATTTCCCTAACTTCAAACTTGCAATATCTGATTTTTGGCCACTTGGGGGCAGAAGAAACAAGCTGTAAACACTGACATATTATCACATTTTAAGTTTTTAGGGCTGATTTTATTAGCAAACAGTTCCCTATTTACATATCCAGCAGATAGAAGCAATATCAGCATTTATTTGGAACCCGTCTGATGATATACCTCCAATATTTAGTTTCTGCCGGGTCTCTTTTTAGCTTTGTTTTGTGTTCCACCAACTCCTGAGGGAAATATTTGGCTGTTCAGCTGCTAAATGTTCACCAGCTGCTCGCTAACAATGCCTGTCTGTCATTTGGTAGCTGGGAAAGGATCATGCACTGACTTAATTTTTTTTGCAGAAAACATCAGCCTGCTGCAGCTGCAAACATTGCTATGAGAGTGAGTGAGAATGAACTGAAATGAGCTAAAAAAAAAAAAAAAATCTCTATATTTGAAGGGACCTGCTGAGTCGGCCGATAATTTTCCATGTTCAAAAGTACAAGAAACACCGTTCACATACAAGTTGTCATGTTCATGAACTATAGTATAATTAATATAAAAATATTGATTATAGCCACTTCTGTTGCCTAAAACTAACCATACGCAGGACTTACTGTGGGATGCTAACCCCAGTATTCAGAGTCACAGTTCGGTCCGAAACAATAGCACTTTTGTATTCATTGAAAATAACATAATCAGGCGAGAATTACGCTTTCCTCAAAAAGTTTGAAAAAACATTTCTAGGAAACAGGGTTGACAAGTAAGATAAGCTGACCACTGCTGTAATTCATCAAAAGCAAAATATCAGTATCAGCTGTGAGTGTAAATGATCAGAAATATGATCAACTCTGACCTCTGGTCATGGGCGAATTATGACACAATGGGCCCCTGGGCACAGACATGTATAGGCCCCTATCCCTCCTACATATGGGCAAAACCCGAAGACTGAAAGAGCAGATCAATGATCAGTTGGTCGTTTTATGCCTATTTGTTGTCAATTTGCGTCCCTTTGTGTTTCGTTGTAGACTTTTGCTGTCTCATTTCATCTCTTTCGTGTCTTTGAAGTTGTTTGGAGTCTCTTTGTGGTCGTTTTCCCCCCGTCTTTCAGTGACATTTTGTAGGTGAAGCCCAGGGGACCAGGGGGCCTCTGTGCCCAGTCAGACCTATTCAGTAATCCAACCATGCCTCTGATCATTAAACACACTTTGCAATAAGCATTAATCAAATTCAAATTAATTCATTCCATCGAGCAACTTCCATAAACATTGTGTTAGTAATCAGTGACCTACATTCTTCCCATCTGACCCGCTCTTGGCCTTGAACACCCACTAATATTTAGCAATGTGAAAACTTTGGTGATGACAAGTCACACAAGTAACACAAGCATATACAGTTTACACCCAAAAGGCAGATGTACTTGAATGCAACAGTTGCCATGAAAAAAAAAATCAGTATGCTAAATATATTCCAACGAGTCAAAATTTGAAAAGTACTTTTGGGATGTTTTAGTGTTCCTCTCTGAGGCTGCTTGAGTGACAGGAACATACAGTAGCGATAGGGAACATTTCAAGTCTCTTTCATCTGGACGGGGACTCTCCGCTTCCAGAGAACGTGAACGATTTCCAAAGTCTTATTTCCTCTCTCAGTTCTGATCCATTTCCATCTATATATTTTCAACCATTTGGCAGGATCCAACCGACGCAGCAGCAATGTTTTGATTATACAGTGACGACACATTATGAAGTAGTCAGTAAGCTTACAATCTCCTTTTTTTTTTTTTTTTTACAGAGGGAACACAAGAAAGCCAGAGAATGTTGAGTACTGCCATCCACCAACTAGGTTTCCCTTCTCCAGCTTTAGGTAGACTTTGTCCTCTTTTTCTAGATAGAGCAGAACTCCATTGGTGGCCGCCTCACGAGTTACATCTTTGTCACCCGCAAAGGCAGAGATGACTGGTTTTCCATTCAACATCAAGTTCACCTGGACAACAGAGATAACAATTAGCACCAGAAAAGGAAAATTACTGGCTTTGAAGATATGTTTTATTGTAGTTGGTTTATTATTTGAAACATCTAAACTTGACCTTGATTAAATAGTATTATAATGACAACTTACCGTATATCAGATAAAAAAGGAAGGGGTTTCAGGTTGGGTCTATGTATTACAATGAAGCATTTATTCAAGAACATACAAGTTCCTGTTAGGGGTTCTATGTAAATTATTAGAGAGGGAGGTAGTTGTATATTATTTCTTTGTGCTGATGAGAGGGTAATTGACTGAGTTTTTCATCCCCCCCCCTATATTATATTATATGTTATATTATTATTATTATTATTATTATTATAAGTAGTAGTAGTAGTATTATAAACGTAATGGCACTTTTTAAAACATTGTTACCTTAAATTTTGCCAGCCAAACTACTTATTTTAGATGTTACCATCTTTCCTCTAGCAAATGACATCATATGTATGAATCTTGTATTTGTCTTATTGTTGGCAACATAATTATTGGTTGCTATATTTTGCTGTCTGTTTTCTATTTTATTCATTTTGTGCTATTGTGTATTATTTTCCTTTACTGATGCATTTTGATTTTAGATGTTATTGGGGTTCTTTTTGATGAAATGTCTTTATAAGCCTTTCTGGGGGGTTTTAAATCTAACCAGCACAATCTTTTTTTATTCCTTTAAAGGTCCAGTGTGTAACATTTAAGAGGATTTATTGGCAGAAAGGGAATATAATGTGAATAGGAAGGTTTCCATTTGTGTATATCACCTGAAAATTACACCACTAGATGCCGCTAAATACTGGACATTGAAATGCATTATGGGTTATTTGTGCAAATACCATGACAAGACACTAAATTGAAATTAAATCAGTTCAGAACTACAAGTAAATAAAATCCACCAAATACAATAAGATAAACAGTAAAATAAACAAATCAAACACTTTATAACTGAATTGTGATTCCATTCACGTGTTAAAGTTAAATGTTAAGGTTAAGGTTAGGGCACACCATCTTAAATTGCTTATGCTTTTCCTCCTTCAGTTATTAATAGTCAATCAAGTTGTACAAATAATGTTACTTTGAGGTATTGGGGGAGGGTTTTGCAGGTTTTCTTTCTAAGAGAAGGGTCCAAATAAAATATTAATAATGCTCTTTTTTAAATTGAAGTACAATTTATACAGTAATTTATATACAGTCCCTCAGGAAGACATTTTTTCCCAGCCCAATGATAAAACAAGTTTACAACTGAATCGACTGCACAGTTCTGTGAAATAAGCAAAGATTGTACCTGTATGGTTTGGCTCTGGTACACTTTAATAACGTGGAAGTTAAAACTGTAGATTCCTTTTCTTGGGGACAAAAAAACTGATTCAAATGTGAAGTAGTTTCCTATATTCACAAGAACCTATGAGAGAAGACAAAAACACATTGTAAGAAAGGTGTTTATATAGCCAGCACTTCAGCAAAGGCTTTCATTTCAATGGCTTTAAGATTAAATATATAAATATTAAATGAGCAATGCACACAGGATTCTCTACTGTGGCTATCAGGCTCGCTCCTGCTCGCACACAAAACTGACTGTGACACAGAATGTAATTCAACCTTTCCTTTCAATGTACCTAAAGCCAACATTTAACTTTCCTACTCCACAAGAAACCAAAATGATGCCTGATGACAATTTAATCTCAGCAGCAGCTTTGGACAAATTTCACTTTGGGGCAAAAACAGGATTTTTCTTCCACACTTTATACTGATAAGACTGAAAAGAATCAGCTTTCTTGATGCTGCTACTTTAAGTCACACATGCAAAATAACCCAATGAACACAACATTGATAAATAAAAACATTCCTTTACTTTTGCTCCCTAAAACTGATCTACCCTGAAAATGTCAGTCAGCATAGCACTTAACGCCATCTCATGAGTGTCACTAAAAGGTTCTAAGCACCCTACAGTCATATTAGACATACAGTATTTACATTAGTACACAAAATGAACTTCTGTGGGTCATGATCGCTGGAGGCAGCAGTACCTGCAGAGTCTCAAACGCTTGAATCCCACCTGTTAAAGACAACACTGCAGGCTCAGCCAGGACCTTTGACAAACGTGGCTTTCATAGCAACAGCATGCACATGCACCACACCAATCCGATCAGTTGCAGTGTGTTCTGATGACAGCAAAAGATCATGTTATGTAATTCAAATGAGAGGGCAGAGGATCAACTGAGTGGTATTGGTGGCTACACTGCCCACCTGTATGACTAATCAAATGTTTGTTGTTGTTGTTTTTTTTGTTTGCCTGGTTTGTTTGGGTGTACAGCTGTTTGAAGGTGAGGGTGCGCGCGCGTGTACGAGCGCGCGCGCGCGGGGCGAGCGGTGGGGTAGCTTGAGGCAAACTGATGAATGCAAGCTCTGCAGGATGCCCCTTCTCCAACATAATCCAGTCACTTTCCAAAAACCTGCCTGCGTGTGATATGTGCATTTGTGCAGGATCCACACGCCAACTGCCACTGGCCTCAAACTAAACTCCGGGGTGCAGTTGCTTAACTGCAATGACACTTCAATGTTCTGCACCACAAGTCAAAACTGAGCTGATGGACGAGGGTTTATCACAAGAAAAGAAAGGACTAAAATTGAATAGAAGACAGGTTCTGACAGATAGGAAAAAGGAAAAGGAGGATGAACAGCAAAGTGCTATAATAAGCGAATTAAACCACTTTTTGACATTAGTACTGTTCATAAAAATCGCCTTAACCTGGTCGAAGTAGATTATTCTCGTTTTGTTGCTCATCTCCGACGGTTCATGGTTGTTGCTCCGGACTGCAGAGAATGCCACCTTGGAGTTGGCGGCGCGCACGGAGATGCCGAGCGGAGAGGACGAAGCCTTCCAGTCCGCGGTCGGGTTAGAGTCGCAGACCACGAGGCATTTTCCCTCCAGGACAATAGGCTCCGTGTCATTCTGAGCTCTCGCCACCTCAGAGATCACAGTCCAGCTGAGCATCAGTATGAGGGAGTTCACCATGGCTCTCTCTCTCTGTGACAGCTGTGGCAGCGCCGATTCGAAAAAGAGAGACCGTCTCCTGCACCACACAAGTTTCCGAGTCCCTCCACTGGTCTCCCCCGCCGCAGACGCGTCTGACGCTGTAATATTCTCTTATTGGATCCAGAAATGTTCCATATCCGAGTAAGACATCAAAAAAAAGAAAAAAAGAAAAAGATATCACCGATTGTTGTCTATGCGTCTCATTTTCAGGTAGACTTTATTTAAAGCTCGTGGATGAGGTAAAAGTAGACCATATGGAATGTTTTAGAGAAGACTGCTCCAGTCTGAGAGGCGAATCAGTCGATAAATCGTCCATAGCCCTCACTCCCACTCCGAATAACGCGTCTGACAACAGCTGTTCCCCGCAGTGATGTGCTGCGTGTGTGCGCGCCCAGCCATCCACTTTACGCACGCACATGTGGTGGAAGTTATAATTAACTGTCGCTGCGTAATTTGCCAAAAGCTTATATTTCCATAATTCTCTATTAAATAGCTTCCAACTTAAATATGCATTCATTATTTGGCTGTGTTAATGATACTGAAAAGATACACTGGATATGAAGTTCTAACTGTCCTTAGCTCGGATCTGGGAACACACACATAAGATAATTCTCTCCAAACACATTTCTGGTGATTGCAGTCTTTAAGGACTGTAATGTAGAAGCAAAGAACTGAAAAATGCCCTCCAGCAAGAGTTTTACTGTTTTTCTTGTTACTGCCAGAGCTCCCTGTCCACTCTGGCTGTAGGTTTCACTCTGATGCAGTGACTCATCATAATCTCATTGCACAGGTGGGCTGAAAATCTTTCAGGCTTAACTTCCACAAGAGTCAGTGATGGGACCTTTAGTCTTCATATGGTTGTCTTGGTGACATGTCCATGAATTCAGGGCTGTCTTCACTGCAGCAGCTGGCAAAAACTTTTCTTAAAAAGACATTGACTTAAAATTCATTAATCTCCCCTATTATTTCCCTGAAATCTAATGTGGCAAATGTTATTGGTAATGGGATTTTGGGTGTAATGCATTTATCACTCAGCCTACACCGCTGTATGATGCACTTGTCTGTCACCTTGCACTGCATTAAATCAACAAGTCATCCAAAGTGTCCTGTGAGAATATTGACAAGAGATTAGAGATGTGAGCACATCACCTCTGTCCTTGTGTCACTACAGGCTCCCCACAAAGCAGCAGATCAATTTTGACGTCCTTCCTCTGACTTACAAAGTGCTACATGAGCGGGCACCCTCCGTTTTTAACCCACAGGAGCCCAAAATCAGCAAGCTAGATGGACAGATTGTACTACCAAGTTGTAAGTGTTATAAAGTAGTTGTAAAGAAGGACACCAAGAAAAGCTTTTTTATGTTTGTGTGTCTTACAGGTCTGTGAATCAGGGGCGAATCTAGAAGAATATTCATTGGGTATCGAGATTTTAAGGGGTGACAGAATGATGTGCTGGTTTAATGGCATTTCCAAAAACAGTATTTTTTCATTGAGTCACTTAATTTAAAATGTGGCCATAACAGATCATTAAAGTATATGTGTTCATTTAAATTTTTTTTACACGTTATTTTAAGAATTAATCTCAATGAATGTGTTCAATTTTACAGCATTTGACACCAAGCCGCCACCCCTCTAGATCCGCCCCTGCCATGAATTCCCAATAATGTCCTAGTCCTAAAAGAGGCAGATGTTTAATTAGCGCCCCTCCAATTAATTAATTCAAATTGATTGCAAAGTTATATATTTTTAGTCAGAGCTCAGCAGGTCAGTTAAACATACAATTGTGTAAAAATTGTCCTTTACTGAATGTTGTCTCCCCCCCCCCGTCTTCACTCGTCCTATCAAATAAAGGTATAAAAAGCCCCAAAAATAATAATAACAGTTTCTAAATGTGTTCAAAACCCACAAAGACATCCAGCTTGAATGTTAATTCTCGACATTGCCTTACAAAAAAACAAGTTTAAATACAAATCTTAACTCAAGGTCCACTTACTATATTTCTCCTCAGAATGTCCCAGCTGCATCTCCTCCCTCATGACCTTCATCCGATTGAATTTGCTCAGCTGTTGTGGAGAGTACAGTATTTATAAATACTTCATTCATAAATAATAGGAGTTATAGTTGTGGACAAACACTTAATAATGACCTTTTATCTGCTTACAGCTACATTATAATGTGTTGTGAGCTATTTATTAGAGGATTTAAAGTATCCAAAGGTTTATTTGTCACATAAAGCAATATGTGTAAACAGGGGTGTCGGACTGGGGGAACAAGGGGGGATGCAGAATACAAAGATGTGGGGAGGGGCCCCTATGTACAGGGTCCAGAATAAAACTTGAGACTCACCAAAGTATACAAATTTAAGATAAAAAATATAAATATATGTTAAAATGTTGCAATTTTAAAGATACACTGCACAACAAAAAATTTCACACTTTCTATTTCAAATATGCAATATGCAAAGGTGTTTACATATCATTTATAAATGCTAAATAGGGTTTAAATAAAGTAGATAGATAGACAGACTTCAGAAACCTTGTTTTAATTATTGGCTTTGTAAAGTGTGCTTTGTGCTATTAAACTAAAATGAGCCTCTATCCTGTAAACCACATTTGGTGTTGGGTATTCATTTGCTTTCTCATTAAATCCATGCGTATGAATGAAGCCTTTTGATCTTTGTGGCTGAACAACAACAAATCATTAGGGTTACAATGTTGAAAGTGATAAAATGGTCGAATTTCAAACAGCCAACAAGCAAATGGATCTGAACCCTGACACAATCAGCCTGTGCCAGTACACGGTGTGGTGAAAAGTGTTTCACATATAAATGTTTTAAAACAGAACATATTGAGAGCATGTTGTCAAGTGCAGCTTAACGTCAACACATTTCAGGTGCATGAAAAAATTGATTACCAGTAAAATGAGTGCCGTTTCTATGTCTACAGAGTCACTGCCTGTTCAGTAAACACAAAGTTGCCACAGCATCTATCTATCTATCTATTGTATATCTAATAGCCTACATCAGTTTAGAATCTATTAAATAAATGATTTATTTGCTACTTGGATTGCATATTTTTAGACCCTTGTATGCAAATGTGCAAATCTGACTTCAATCGTCAGAGACTGTGTTGTTTTGGGCATCAATCCATCTGTAAATGGAAGACAATCCCAGTATATCACAACCACAACCTGAATAGCTGCCATTTTGTGAGATTTGTGTCATCACCCAGCTCTGACAAATGGTTTAGTACCTAATGTTGTGCATGTCAATATGTTTCCATGGTGATAGAGTTTTCAGGGCTGAGAGGTGATGGCTTGCAATGTGCCAAGAAACCCCTTCCCTTGGAAATTTTACATGGAAAAAATGTTTTCCAACTGTTATTTAAAGAGGAATGTCTGTTTACTGACCCAAGGCCTCTTTACAGAGAAAACTTAAAACCCTGACCTAAAGTTGTTATTATTATTTATTAAAAATAATCCTAGGAGCTTCAGGTTACATTAACCATGAAGATTAAAAACATGATCCACAAATCCACCTGCTTGTAAAGAGAGCAATGTTGAGAATTAAAGTTCCCAAATGGTCATTATGTACCACAAACAGAAACAAAGGATCAACATAATGTGCTAGTATTTAAAAGATCAGTGATCATGTGACAACAGGGTGCCTGGATCCAGTGGGAACAGGGCGGAATGTCACCTGGCGGGACATCTGGAAGTCGATCAAGTTCTTGATTCAGGGAGTCTACCATCCAACTCGTTCACATGGGACAAAGTAGGAACAGCTGCATGTTCCCCTGTGCTCCAAGAAAGGGACCCTCGAACACAACCTGAGCAGCTGCTCCAAGGCACTGAGCAAGGGGCGCCATCGCTGGAGACACAACCAGGCCAACTCAAGTCCATTGTGGAGGCAATCAGCAAGTGGGTCAACATCAAAAGATGCATCAAGGAAGTAGAACAAGAACTGCTCTGATGGTTTGCTTTCCACTAGACAGGCTACTACCACAGACTGGGCGATGACAGTTGACCTGGAGAGGCAACTGAGGATTCCAGCACACAATATCCAGTCCTAATTGAGACCAGACATCATCTTGGTCTCAGAGGCCACAAGACAGCTTATCTTGTCCGAGCTAACTGTGCCCTGGGAGGAAGAGGATGGAGGAGGCGCAGAGAGCGAAGTACGGGAGCTAGTGGGGAACTGCTGCAGGAACGGGTGGAGGACCAGGTGCGTGCCAGTGGAGGTGGGCAATCCCTTAGCAACCGCGGACATAACAGGACAGAGCAGGAGAGCCATCAACAACAATGTGGAGGCGGCAGAGGCCTGATCGACCTCGGCATTAGGGGTACACAAAACATTCATGCAAATTTACTTTAGCCCTCACAAGCATACTGATTGTGTAGATTCTATTTGAATGAAGTGATTTCACTGCATTCTGTTGTTTTAAATCCCGGTGGTGACTCAGCCTTTACCGTGCGGTCACCACATGTTCCAGTTTGTCCCGGTTTGTCCTGGTTTCAAGCCGGGTGTCCCTAGTCCTGACAAATATCTGTAACACACTAGATTGTCACGACTGTTCTGGGTTTTCACCACAATTAGAAAAAATAATAATGGGTACCCGGATAGCTCAGTGGGTAGAGCTCGCGACCTGTGTACCAAGACTGAGTCCTTGCTGCAGCGGCCCAGGGTTCGAATCCAACCTGCAGCCCTTTGCGGGGTGTCATCCCCCCTCTCTCTGCCCCCCTTTCCTGTCTATCTATAGCTGTGACTACAATAAAGGCAATAAAAGCCCCAAAAATAATGATAATATTATACTTGTTTTCAGCGCTTATACACATTTATCATGTTCTCTCCCACTACCTACAATAAAACCATGAACAATTCATGATGTGTCTGAATTCATACATACACATACTGAATTGTATGTGTGTGTCAATTGCTGTCAAGGCTGTCACTAGCATATGAGTGGTTGTTGTTATTGTACACAGCAACAAAAATACTGCATTCATTGTGTCCATGCTGTTGAAAGGTGTTCGGTGTGCTGAAATAATTGTCCCCCTTGTGTCCATGGTTCACTTTTAAGGGTCCCAGTTTGGAGGTTTCAAAAAATTGTCACCCTACTTTACTGGGGGTTATGTGCCAGATTTTGTCTTGGTCGGTTGTAGGGACTACCTGGAGTCTCTACTGGTCGCTTGGCAACCTTACACAATCTTAGAAGGAAAGCTAATAAGCGTATTTCTCAAAATGTTGAGCTATTCCTTTAAGTAAAAATTGTAAACAAGACTGAGAGAGACTACATAGTGATGCTGCTACTTTTACCTAAGTAAAATATCTGAGTACTATATTCCACCACTATACAAATCCAATCTGTCATGATGTGTGTTATGTGTCAAAAGTTCCCATTTTCAAACTGAAACAAATTATCCCACAGACTCCCATTAGCTCAGAATTTCTTACAGGGATCCATATTGGAAATGTGTGATTTATTCAGTGGCATACAGCTATCTGTGCAGCACAAAATTATACTGGCAAGAATAAAGCCCATGATCACTGTCAAAATCTGTCATTTACTCTCTCACTGGGTTCACTCCTAAAATTAGTAGAATATGAATGCTTGCTCAGTTTTTTCATTTTTATGTAATTGTTATTTTGATTAAAAAAATTACGGCAAATAGATCAAAAAGAAACAAACCTCCAAAAAATCACCAACATATCTCATCTGAAATAATTGTTCTCTACCTCCCAACCTGCCAGCCCTCATTGACACTGCCTCCACTCGCAGAGCACTGACCTTAGCACAGGACTACTGCCACCCCCTCAACCCATGCCTCACCCTCCTCCCTTCAAGCCGCAGACACAAAAAACAATCTGCAAAAAAACACGCTTTGGGAGGAGTTTGCGCCCTCAGCTATAACTGCTTTAAATAGCCTGGGCACACTGTAATAGACTTGTGTTGTTGTAATGTTCTTGTTTGTATATACCTTGTTTTTAATGTTATTTTTGTGTACAGACTGTGGAAACAAATTCCTCTCTGCAGAGGGCAATGAAGAATTCATCTGAATGTGAATTATTAGGGTCTAAATGCAGTGCAAAATCTCTCATTTTAGATAATATTGAGCAGTCTTTCTTTCTGTTTTTTAGGAGGACCTTGTTGTCCTCAGTGGTAGTGACAGCTGCTCCTTGGGGTCCTCGGGCTGAAAAGTACTTCACCATGGAACACGCATAACAATATCTCAAGAACTCATGTGTCGCAGTCTGAGTTGAAGTTCGGTAATTCAATGATTAGAAAACCAGCTAAAGCAATTTCACATTAATGTTTTACCTGCCCCCCTTTAGAAATGACATTTTTTTAAACAAATGCAGTCTATAGGGGACTCAGATCATTTTATCAATTGAAAAGGACAAATAAAAAGAGAGGGAAAAAAATCCAGACCCATCACTGGGTCTTGATAAAAAGAGCAAGTCTCTAAGGAATTTAATTAGTGGTCAAAAGGAGAGTATGTACTCTGCATATAACACACTGATGATGTCGGACAGCCCTGTCGCACATAATGAGCTGCTTTGGTAATCTTCAAAAAGCCACAGTCTCATTTTTACGAAGTCATTGTATATACTTTTACACTAATTAAACATAAATCCAAAGTAGCGCATGTGCCACTTTTCAAAGCAGTGAAATAGGCAATGGGCCAGAGGCAATCAGAGATACGAGCTGTCAGTCACCAGCAGAGGCAGCCGCTATCCTTCACAGGGATATTTCAACATTTTGTCTGAGAGATTTCTTGAGTTTGAATAAACACTTTTGTATATTTGTCTTGATTTCTTGGCCTCAGAGGGGCAGCGCAACCAACTGTGAACACAACATTGACATATCATCACCACTTAGTCTATATGGCAAACATGTTAGCAGACAGTTTAGCTTATTTAAATAGACAGGAGATAGACATCACAGTTGCTGGCAATCTGATGAATATAAGTCTAATATTTACTCTCCTTTTAAAAACCCTAACATTGTTGTTTAGTGTTGAGCAGATAGTGTACAGGTGGTTTTACAGAGCTTTTTTTTGTTGAGAACAGCCACCTGCTGCTGGAAACAGGGTTGACAGTAATTATTAAATGCATTATTCTGATTAGAGCAGCTTTAAAGTGTAACTGAAACCCTAAATTCTGCTAGCTCCCTCCCTCCCAACAATTTTTTAAAATTGTTTGTTGTTTGGATACGAAAGCTGCCTTCAGATCAGCCAATAGTGAAATTCAACTGCACTTTCCAGGTTTCAACCAGTAGGGGGAGATTGATATGCATATTTCTAGCACTAGACGAAGAATTCGGATACTATAAAATGTCAAGATTTTGATCGATCAACAACATGATCAAATACCCATAAATTGGTTTTCAGCTGAAAAAAGAGGTTTAGGGATTTAGGCAGGTGCGTGTACTTTTTCAAATGTGAATTTAATTTATTCCCACAGCTACCAATTTAGCAGTATACTCGGAACGAACTTGCCAAACTAGAAATGCAGAAATGCACATGGCACCATGTGTGCCTGCGCCTTCTTTTGAAACTGATTTATCCAATGTCGCTCGGCAATCACATTGTTTTTCTATCAAAAACATATTCGCCAAACTTTGCTCTCACAATAGGAATAATAATAATGAGTAATAACACCTTAACACCAGCAGCTACCTGCTCCAGCTATTTGTTAATTAACTTTCCCCATTGGTTTGGTTTCTTGTTCTAGGAATTCACACCACTGATGTTGCAAATACATCTTAATTCTATGTTAATTCTTGCATTGTTGAGGGAAAAAAATGTAATTATAAAATGGGTTTAGAACGTTCTGGTCGCTTTGAAAATTCACACCAAATAGAATAGATATTTTATATAATAAATATAATATCCTCACACTGAGATAAAATGTCTTACCTTTTTATACACAGAGCTCTAAAAACCCAGTAATGACCTCCAAAACTAAAAGTGAAAAGTAGTGTACAATGGAGCCCATACAAACAAAGGTAATACTGACAAAGTATTTGAAAACTGGAAGAAAAGTGTAGCAATTCAGATTGTGGCATATAACAAGGGGACAATAAAGGCATAACTATTATATTATACATGTCTTTGTCTCTTAAAAAGTGAACCTAATTCCAAAGTAAGAAAGAAGAAGTGACTTCTGTAGTTGATCTTGTGTACATGCTTAAAGACATGTCACTCATCTCTCTTTCATTTCAAAAGCGGTACAAAGACACTACATCAAGAAAAAAAAACCAACCTTAATGATTCATCCAGCGTCAATTTTGACAAATTGGAAATGTAAAACATCCTAATAAGATAAGACTGTGTGAAGAAAACATTTAATGAAATAGTTTTGCGTGTTTCCTGCTAATGAATCACCAGTTTCTACAGATGCAAAGTTTTAATTAAAATCAGTGGTTTCTTCTTTTTCAAGAAAATGTGCAACTTTTCCTGCTCAGTGTGAGGTCGGGTTCATTATACCACCATGGTTCACAGTTACAGCTACAGTGCTTTTGTTGTCAACTGATTAAAATGTCAAGACACACACAACCTGTATAACACATGCATCAGTTCTAAACCGTGCTAAGAATACCTTTCAACCTTTTGATGGGGAATGTTGTGCTTCTCATCATGTCATTGCCACAGTGCAGATGTGGTCCTTAATCAGAGGCGGCCTTGGAGCTCCTCCTGGAGAGCTGGGATAGAAAATGTCCCCGACCACAGCGCGATTGCATGTTCAAAATAATCACGCACCCAAAGTACACCAGCCTCAGCTGGCCTCTGAAGTGTGGCCCATTCTGTTCCTCTGCCAGCACAGAGCTGTGGGTATTAGCGGCACACTTCAGCATCCGCGTGTGTCTTACAACCGAGGGCTTTCAAATCCTGCATTACTGATTCGTCTCAAAACAAATAGTCAGTAAACAAGAAGTCAACACAAATCAAAACAACCTCTGATGTGAAATAATGTGATAGATCAGTTTTATATTCACAAAATTGATTTTCACTGGCATTGTCATCCTGTCATCCAGATGCATCAGCATCACTATACACTTCATACTGTATGTCTATACTATGAATGAAATTCAGTGCCCATTATAAAAAAAACATCTGTACAAACAAATCCATGCAACATTTTATATTTCAAAGCATCCTAATATTTTTGTATCTTCATCTTTCTAAACTGTGACTAATAATGAATAATCACTGCTGTCTCAGTGGTAAGCAATATGTACTCTGTAGAGTATAATTCATATCATTTCAGCACGGGCCCTCTTGAACTCGTGAATGAACTGACAAATCAACCCAAAGAGCTCCTGAGAGTCTTGATCCGCTGGTTCTCCGAATTTAACCTTGACAAGAGAAAAACAGGATTAGTTGTTTGGAAATGAAAAACTGTAGTCTGACATAAATGACTGACTTTCTGCTACCTCAGAACTTATACAACACATTTAACAACTAAGAACTGCAATCACTTTCATTAGTGAATGGTGCCTGGCTCGTGCATATTCATCTTAATAATATTCTTTTGATATAATTCACTCATATACTTCCTCAGCATGCAACCCATTCCTTGAGTGCACTTATACAATGAGGTAGCTATGCACTGCTGAATTAATACTTGTACCTAGGTGGTTCAGGGTCACTGGCTTGAAAATGTTCATAATTCTTAAGTCAAACTTCATCACAAAGGGTCACAGTGGCTAATGTGTTCTAATTGACTGTTTGCATGCACAGGTTTAAATTCAGGCTGCAGCTATGTGCCGTCACTCTCTCATCATTTTCTTTACACTTTATTATGTTTAAGGTTAGATTTTCAAATGCCATTAGGATCTATACTTCCTTATTCCGTTTATATGTTTACTGAAATAAATACATCCTCCAGAAGACACACAGGATGAGCTCATTTTGCTTTGGCTGAGAGTAATTTTACTATAGCGAGATTCATTACAGACATTTTAAAGACAGTTTGACATCTTGGGATATATGCTTATTTACTACTCTCACATGTGTTTGGTAAATATGCAGCTGGAGCCAGCAGCTGGTTAGCTTAGCCAGTGGAGACTTCAGGAAGTCACTGCCAAGAAATAGGCCAGCACATGACTCCATCACGGTTGATGAGCTTTAAAGGTGCTGGTAGAAAGATTTTGTTACCCTTGGACAGATGGGGGGTCTGTCTCACCCAGTTTCTGGTCTTTATGCTAAGCTAACCTGACTACAGATGTGATAAAGAGTGGTATGAATCTTATCATCTAACTCACAGAAAGAAATTCCTTTATAATTAAATATTCACAGCCACAGCAGATTTGTATGTTTTGGACAGACTGAGGTTTTCTGGCGGCAGAAATAATGTCCTTGGTCCATGGCCGAGTCAAACAACTACAGTTTCAGGGTGCATAAGCCTCAAAGCCACATATACCTCTGCATGATTAAATTTAAACAAAAAAAAAAGAGAGCCTGACAAATCACTTATTTAACATCACTCAATTGGCCACAGTTAGCTTGGTAACAGCAAGGTGGTCATTTTTATCACTGGGGCTGACGTGAAGGCAGAGCTCCGAGGTTGAACTTGCTTGTTTATTTGACAGTTCATTTAAAGGCCAATTACATGGCTGCGACACCAATGCACATGCCCAAAAAAGTCACAGGATTTATTTCCATCGTGGTCTCTATTGTAGTTAAATGTAGAGGTGAGCATGTTCTTGCACGTTCTTGGAGTGGAGTACGGCATTAGTGGCACATACAGAACAAATTCATCTCAGGCAATAACAGGCATTATAATTTATAATTCATATCTTACAGTATTAAAAGTTTAAAGGCAAAATGATTAAATTAAACTAACAAATAATGAAAAAGGTTTTTAGATATTATTTAAAAGATACTTTAATTAATCACTCAGCCAGTCTATAAATGATTACACTGACAGTGTAACACCTATATTGTCTGTGAACAGTCTCTAAGTGCTTCCAAAAGCTCACTATATAATTGCTGACAGTGAAAATGTTTGAATTACCATGTCTTCTGACATTTCTAAAAGGTTTACACAGGTGTATGGCGCCTGTTTTTCAAAAAGTCCCTGATAGCAGGAGGGGGGTGTTAACTGATTATTAACACCTGTTCCCTCTATAATATATAACACTCTCACATCAGATGTGCAAATCGCATTATTTGCATACTTTCCACGCCTCATTGTTTTCTTTGCATGTTAAATATTTGCATGCCTTTTTTACAAACACATCCTGCGCAAACGGAATCAATGTTATTCCACTGTAACAAGTGAGGATGAGAAGGATAATGAAATTGACTGCTGGTTGCTTTGGCTGCATGTGTATCATAGCATAGTGGGAAATGCTAAGCTACAAAATTCAGAGCTCCGTCATCTCCACGCCGGTGATTGACATTCTAGCAAAACACAATTGCAATAATATAAAATATGTTTATACAATTCCTACATACTGGTATTTTAAATCTGCTTTAAAAACGATCTATTATATTTCCATATAGATGCTAAACAGGGAGGGTTAAAATGAAGCAAAGCCAAACATATCTGGTGTTAACTTTTATAGATACAAATGAAGTTACAAGACTAGATACTGAAATGTTCAACACAAGCATATTGTGTCATCTTTAATCTGCAGGGTTGAGCTATTTACTTGAAGAAGGAAGATTAAAAGCACCTTATCTGCAGTCGCTGAGCTGGAATCGATTTTGTTCTATCCTGTCTTACGGACGTGGTGTATTAAAGATATGTATTATGTGAAGAGAAACTGGTAATGTGACGTAGTTGTCAGCTTTTAGTGGTATGACAAGGCGTACATAAGAGACTCTTTTTGAAAAATCTATCAAATTCTGAGAAATTAGAGAGGATATGTTACAGCAACGCACGTTACATAAAATGTCTCCTTCTATTTGATACTTTTTTTAAAAACCCTGCCTCCAGAGTAACAACTACAAAAAAAAGGCCTTTCAAAAATCAGCCCCCCAAAAATTTCATGAGCTCCTTCTATGTTTAATAAATTTGCATGTTGGCTATTCAAGGGCATCATTATAAATTCTCCTCCCTGTGACAAGATGTGAGTAAATGTGACGCCTTTTCCCCAACCTGCTGCTCCCTTGCACGACACCACAGTCAGTCTCTATCATTTTCTCCAGTGCTCCTGAAGGGGTTTATTGTATATGCAGGAGGTTTCACACAGACAGTATTAGAAGGGGGTTCTCCATGCAGTGAATTCAGAGGAGGAGGAGGGGACGCAGGTGGAGCTGGAGACTAAGGATTGGGCTTTGTCCATCTTCAAATGCCACTGGTCTGATTTTTGACTTAACCAGGAGGAGTGATGCTCGATGGCACTGAAGACGACACGGAATGGACTGATAGGGATGCAACATTTAAGGAAGTACATTTCAAACTTAATTATTAAAGGTAATAAAAAAATCTGAAATATATGTATATATATATATATATATATATATATAATATATAAAATATCGAAGTTTCGCTGGTCCTACTTTGATTTAAATATGCAGGGATGATTCCTGGTGATTAAAAACAACTCCTACCCTGAAGGGGACACTACAGTTAAAGGTCAAATTGTTAAACTTTAAAAGGCCACAGCCACCACACCACCAGGCTGTTTCCAATAATACTAGTGATCTATGTTAAGAACAAGGAATAAGATTCACTGTAACCAAATAGTTAGACATTTTGGGACATACACTTAGATTGGAGAGGCTGCCCCCCCAAGAAGAATGTCTATTTAAAAGCTGTTTTCATATGTACAGTATGATTATTCATAAACCAACCCAAATTGAGAGGCAATGCATTGGTTTTAAATGCAGTTGTAACTATACTAAAAAATACCTGTGGGCAAAGATACCCCCAGGAGTCATTTTGATTTTTGATAGCTACAAATGGCATAATTTACATAACAAAAATTATCTGATTGGTTTGTGGAAAAGGATCTTTGTTTAATGTTAATTCAAACAGGCTTCTTTAATTAGGGATAGATTTAAAGTAAACAAAAAATACTGTAGTTCTGTTTTAAAAAGAGGTGGAAAAACAAAGAGGTGACTCAATAATAGTTTATTCTAGGGCTGCACAATATGGTAAAAACATTGTATTGCATTATTTTGATATTGCGATATGATTCAGGATTAGTGAATTATCATTTTGTGATGGAATTTGAACTTTAAACAAACTTAAACTTAAACTAATCTGTATGAAACAAACATGTTTTTTTATTATCTGGAGAACAAGAGTTGTAGACCAGGGCACGTCTGCAGCACTACAGTACTTCATTATAATGCTGTTTTGTCACACATTGTATCTTTATCAAAATCATTGCAGCTCTTGCAATTTGCATATTGCACTTGGCCATATTGTAATATTAATAATGTTTTGATGAATTGTGCAGCCCTAGTTTATTCTTCACTAATCTTGTGTTTTTGCTGTTAGATTTAACTGTAAACTAACAAACATGCTAGGAGCAGTATAGCTATAGCTATATACAATTGAATGTAGGAAACACATAGACATCAGCTTTACTAGCATTTGCTGGCACAGTTTGAGTTACGTGTGGGTGGGCATCTTCTCCCATCTTACTCCTCTTTGCTTTCTTGCTAAGAGTCAGATGAGAAAACAGACACCACTCTACACATAATACAAAGCTACAGCCAACAGCCACTCTGAACTTCTATAGCTCTGAAATGAACACATTTATCTTGTTTGTTTCCTCTGTACAAAACTCAAAGAGTAGAAAAAAACAAGTTATTGATTTACAGGGGAATTTGTTTCCTGGGGAGACTCAAGAAAGTCATACAGGCTAGCTATTTCCCCTTGTTTTCAGTCTCTGGGCTAAGCTAAGCTGGCCAGCTACTGGCTGTAACTTCATATTTACTACTCTCATCTCACCCTCTGCAAGAAAGCAAGTATTTGACATTACCTCACCCCTGGTTGATTTCCCTTGCAGTCAAAAAGAGAGATTCTGAAGAATATCCAGAGTTTTTTCTGTGCACTTGCTTTATAGCACAGTGACTGTGTACACCACACCCCTCGTGTGAAAGTTGTGTAAAAAGTTTACAGTGCACAGGAATCTAATTGTGGATCTAATATAACACAATTCCCTACCAGGCCTAAAGCTCACAGCTTGTGCTATAATATCTTGGTGCTCAAACACAGCAGGACGGGTAAGTGGACTCTCTATGATGATGGATTGTCCATAAAGATATGGGAAAGGTGAGAAAATAGGCCCTACTTTCGTATTGATTGTTTTTGGTGGGGACTCTATGAAAAAAAAGACATAGCACCTGTTAAGATGTCAAAAGTAGTCTTGAGCTCTATAAACCTAATCTAACCAGGTTAGTGAGCAAAGAAAATGTCCCCCTTTAAAGACAATGTGATAAAAGAATACACAAGGACCAGTGGCTCCACTAAATCTGATGATATGTGTGACAGAGGAATTTTCTTTATGAGAGGCAAAAGCTTAAAGGAAAGCACAGCTCTCAGACTGAGAGTCCAGAACTTAAATCATAAATAGTGGACGTATGAATGAATCCATTGTTACATTTAAATACTAAATTGAAAATGAGAAGTCTCTAAATGCAAAAGATGACTTCAAATACAGTATGAACTACTCTTCCACAAAACCAATCAACCAAAGAACTTTGTGGTATGTGTCCTCGCAGGCTTGTATATTGTTTCTTTTAAAAAAACCACATCAGAAACCTACCGGAGGTGCTCTTCCAGCTTCTCATTTTTAATCTTTTGTAGACCATTCATCGATATGACATCACACATTAAGGGTCAAGATGAACTTGTCTCTCACACTCTCTGGCTAAAGGCGACAGCTACAATTGCTCACCAATCCTGAAGAAAAAGGAGTCTAGCATTTTTCAAAGCTGCAAATCAGTGGTGCTTGCTGTTAAATGATGTGGAGGCCATATACACTGTATATCAGGTGCATTATGTCCTTGTGTAAGCCCTGTGTAGGACACCTAGTGAACAAGAAGTAACCTTGGGGACTGCTGAAATATATGTACTCCCCTAGTGGGTCGGGGAGATACGATGACAAATTATTGAAGAGGGCCATCTATACGCTACTGGAACGGGGGACAATCCATCTCTGAGGCTGTACAAAAGAGATATTGAAATAATAACTCAGGGATTACCAGTATGACAGAGTAGAGTTTCTTCATCTCCTCACACATCTTCGTCAGTGCCGAGAGATCCGTTTTGTATTTTTCAATTGCCATCTGGGGTATAGAGAGAAAAGCACAGGGAACTCCTGGTGAGTTTGTTCAATCATTTAGTCCATCTTTGCTCAAACTTTACTGTTATCTCTTTGGGGTTAAACTCTGCATGGCCTACATTCACAACTGGGATGGAAACCAAATATGCACTGTGTGGTCTTCTAAAGGTTTAGAATACCTTCTGCAATTTATCTGTGAACTGGATGCAGCTGCATGCAGGTAAATGCTGTACATTTTATTTATTTATGAAGGAAGACATAGAAATGTTTGGTCACAGACAGCTGAAGATCTGTTTGGTAGCAGTTAGGGGTGTAACACAAAGAAGGTTTGAACATTAGGGGGGAAACATATCACTTAGCCCAACTGCAGGAAGTTGAGAGATAATAGATTAAATAAAGTCGGAGTATCTCGGAATTTTATTTTATATTTTATAAAGATCTGAAAAGCTCTCATTTTGCAAGCACTTTAGAGACAGTCCCTAACTTCAGCTCCTCAGTTTTCCATCTACTGTCCAGTCACCAAAGGAGCAGACTTCAATATGAGTTCATGAGGAAAAAATAACAGCTGTGCAACATCAGTCAACTTTATCCTCCCTCTGCCCGACAGATCTCCTGAAAACTGATGAAACATTACTCAGGATGAAACTCACTGAATGTCTGGGTATCAAACTTTAAAACAGCTCAGGGTTTTAAGCCAATGGCCTGTTTGTAGATATTTTGGCAAATCTGCATCATGAAAAGTCATGCTGCTTTTGTTAATACCAGTTCCTGTTTGCACAAAACAAACAACAAACACCCGGATTACTTGATACAAAAGAAAAATCTGATGAATATGAGCCATGATCTTAAGTCATAGAAAAAGGAGCTCCTTACTATAATCTTTAAACAGAATTAAGTGTATCCTCAATGGACATCAGAGCTGCAGTCACCACTGTTAAGAGTGTGGTAATAGTGCGTAAATAAATAATAAACACAAGATTTACTACTTCACCTTCAGTTCTCTCTCGAAGTTTGGCTGTTGAACTCCTGCATTTCTCTTCTTGGACACTTTCCTGTACTGAATGACTTTCTGCAGTTCATTCTTCAGGACTGAAGCGACACACACACACACACCTTGGTTACCATCCATCATATTTGACCACTGAAGCAAATAGCTGCTTTAAATCAGATGCTGTCTCCTGTGTGATCTTGTGATGCGCCGTATTTGTGCTTGTGGCAACTGTTTGTAAGTCATCATACAGACAATATATTGGATTGAGCCCATATGTTCCCTAGACAATGAGATCATGCTGTTTCAACAAAGTATACTGAAACTACAATTACAGAAAGATCTAGTAGATGTTACTATCACACTCCCTCACAGATAACTTGCGTTGGCACAAAAACAGTAGGATCTGTATTACAGTGATCTCAGCAGAATCGAGAACAACCGTCTTTAGAAGCAGTAGTAAAATGCGATCTACTCACCATCTACTTCTGCGGTCAGACCCTTGATGGAAGCTATCCAAAAGAGAGAGAAAAAAGAGGTGACCCACACAGAAAATACACGTTTCACTTAACAGACCTCAGTTTTCAAAGTACCACCACAGATTTTTTTCAGCTTTGATCAAATCTTGATTAGCAAATACCTCCAGGGACAGTTTCAAATTCTGCCAACTCCTGGGTAAAAGTGGCCAAGCACGGTTCATGCAACATGATCTGCTCCACAAGGGCATGGAGCAAGGTGAACTTCCTGTCTCTCCCACGGAGCTGGGAGAGCTGGGGATGGAGAAAACACAGAGTGAAAAAAGGGCAGGACCTACTAACCTGCAGTCCCCCACACGATCACAGGGACTTACAACATAAAGGAAATGTGACAGATATGTATTGTTATATCTGTATGTGTAGCTTGCTCGCTGAAGGCCAGGGAAAGAATACAATGAAAATGTCTAGAATCTGTTTATACATGTATTGATATTTTTTCGACATCCATGGTGTTGTGCATTTATAACTTCAACAAAGGTTTACCTTGGATATTCTAACTTTCACTATCACCTTACTGTGAGTACTAATATAAACTCCTTTATCAGTACCTAAATGTCACAGTTAAGTGGTATTTATTTAATTGTTCTATTTTTCATTATTACTCATAAGCCTTGTTTCCAACAAATTGTATTACAAATTTTAACCGAATTTTGAGTAAATTTGCGAAAGAAAATGTTTATTTCCATAAGATGTGATTATGTGATTATTAGGAGTTGGTTCATCAAGATAAGCAGTAGCTGGCGCCAGTACTCCGGTCGGAAAACCAGAGGAAGAAAGCGCAATTAAAAGATGATGTGATTAAAAGAGAGCCATTCAAACTTTAAATGGTCCTTAAATAAACCTTAAACATCAGAACTTATTCGGAAAAAGTGTAACCATCTCCCATTAAGCACATTAACTCATTTTTTTTTAACTCTCAAGCAAACTCAATCAAAAAGCATAAAAAAATACATAGATGGAAACGTGGCTATAGTTACTGGTAGTGGCACCAGTAAATGTGACTCACTATTTGTATGAAATGGTAATTAAGACTCTACAATTCAAGCCATGTTGCACTTCATGGTCCCATATAATTAAAATGCAAGAGGAACCTCTCTGATCCTGTGAAAGAACTCATGGTCTTTTTCTAGGTTATTATGTTGTTTACCAATTTAAGGCCCCGGCCAGCCTCTGGGGACTATATATACAAGACATGCAAGTATTGATGCTCACAAGTGAAAAGCAAGAATCAAAAAAAGATCTAAGAAAGACTCAATACATTTTTCTTGGAAGCAGTTGGCCATTAATTTGAGGAGAGTCTGTCTCAAGCAGCAACAGTTTACTATTCTCAATTAGACCTGGAAACACCTCTGAGGGAACATGAGGCCTCAGCTTCATTAAATGGAGCAGAGGACGTTTTACTTCTGTGCCAGGAGCACTGCCCCTTAAACCTTCCCAGTAGAGAGACTTGCACACAAACGAGGTTCAAACTAAATTCAGAGCAAGGCAGAAAAAACTCTGGCAAACCCCAGATAACACTTAAAACTATACATCCAATAACTACTAAACCTTAAAAGGAATAGTTCAACATTTTGGGAAATAGACTTATTTGCTCTCTTGCCGAGAGTTAAATAAGAAGATTGAGAATGCTCTCATATGAAGCTACAGCCAGCAGCCAGTTAGGTTAGCACAAAGACTGGAAACAGGGGAAAACTAGCCTGGCTCTGTCCAAAAGAAACAAAATCACATCTGAAGGTCACTAATTAACATGTTATGTTTTGTTTGTTTAATCTATACAAAAACTGAGGTGTGAAAACAACACATTGTGGTTTTTACAGGATTATGTGCTGGACTATTTCTTCGCTGGGTGTAGTGTATGGCGACTCCAGGAAGTCACTGCTCCCGGCCAACAATTGTGGATTTAAACAGCCAAAAAAACCAACTCATTGTTGAGCCTTAGAAATGCTGGGTGGTGGATTTTGCTACCTTTGGACAGAGGCAGAGCTAACAGTAACCCTCCCCCATTTCCACTTTATGCTAATCTAACCGTCTCCTGGCTCCAGTTTTATAAACACCAGAAAGATATGAAAAAGGTATCAATCTTTTCATCTACCTCTCATCAAGAAAACCAATAAGCATATTTCCCAAAAGGTCAAACTATTCCTTTGAATAAACCAGAAAACGGGATCAGATATTTTTGCACTTAACGGAGGCTCACTTCATCCATGAGTGGCCACCTTTTGTGCAAAGTTTAATTTCTCCTGTGATGGCAGGAAGTGACACAATCACATGTCTGTCAAAAGGACTGTGTCAAAGATCTGCGTGAGTGAAAGCTGAGAGAAGCCCTGCAGTGTATATCAATGAGTAGTCTTATTAGCCTAGTGCTGCAACTCAATCAAAGGTCAGGCAACAGTGGTGGAGTCGTACTTTAGTTAAGGAGGAGAGGCGGAATCCCTTGGCCTTTTCCTTTCTGGCGTTCTCGTTGAGGTAATTGCCAATGGCGAGGAGGTACTCCAGCACGGAAACAAATGACCTGGAGTTGTTCAGCTGTGTGCACATTCTGATCTTCTGGTTAATCAGCTGGAAGATAAACACAGGGGCACAGAGCAAAGTCATTTTGTTTTGTAATCCGACCGCATACAGGCCCTCGCATTCATTTCTCTTCACAACAACTGTGAAATTTAAGTGGAATAAGACTGAAGCTTGTTTAGGGGCTCTCTGTGCTGACAAAGCTGAAGACAAAAATAACTCAAGGCTTCAGAATTTTACATTATAAAGATAAACAGCCATCTCACAACACCTCATTTGACCTCATAAAATGAATAATCATGGCTTGGTTGTCTGGCAAGCCTATTATTTGGTATGCAATTGTCTCAAGTACAAATATCCCTCAAGAATATCGCACAATTTTCCTGTTTAATAACCAGTTCTGAACAGACCCTGTTGAATATGGATAGAAATCATACTGAAAAGAAATGAAAGTGGGATTTAAGGTTTTGCCAATGGTGTGTTGGAGGAAAAAGGAGTTGATGCTATGGGAATCGTAGTCCTTGACAAAGAGTTAGCTTTTCCAAATAAGGTCCATGCCAGCCAGCAACAACACTCCCACCATATGCTCCTGTTTTAAGAATAACTTCTCTAAAACCTACCAGTGGGAAAGCCTTCATTACACAGAAGAGAATGCAGATATCCAGCTACATCAAATCTACTGGCTTTGTGCAGGACCATCTGTACTATCATGGAAAACTACTGTAGTTTTCATAAAACATAATGAAAACAGCTCAGCATGCCGTGTAACTTGCTTTTAGACCGCCATCTCAGGTATCGAAGTTCAATTTTACTGTCAAAAAGAAAAGTGCAATTATTTTAAAACAAATTGTTAGCATTGTGTCCAATACCGCTCGTTCCTTTAAAGGTCCAGTGTTTAACATTTAGGATCTATTGGTGAAAATGTAATATAATATTCAAAGGTATGTTTTTATTCAAGTATAATCACCTGAATATATTAATTGTTGTGGTTTTGTTACCTTAGAATGAGAGAGTTTCTCCTTCGCGCTTGGAAGGGGAGGATGAACCGAGACCACTAGATGCCACTAAATCTTACACACTGGATCTTTAAAGTCACAATGTAATGAAAAATATATTTTCAAAATATATGTTAAAAAAAAATTATATAAAAACCCATCACCTTCCTGTAAAATGTTAAAGTATTTTGGATGACTCATCTTGAATTTAAAAGCATTTGCCAAACTACACAGTCTCCATCATGTCTGTTCTCCTGTAAAATCCAAAAATTCTATTTCGAAAAACACATATGATTAAACCTAAATCTCACCTTTGTGTTATTGTGGACTTATTTCTGACCCCTGATGGTAAAGTGTGGAAAACACCCACTGGTACTTGACTTGGTATGATTTTTTGGGGGGTTTCCACTGTCCACCATGGGAAACAGTGAGCCAATTCTACACTCAAACACACAGTGCGGCAAACAACACAAAGGTCAGATTTATGCTTGGTCAGAAGGGTTTTCAAACAATATTTTTTAGTTTTACAAAAAAAAAAAGCTAACTAGTTGGTTAGGCAAATGCATGTCTGGTTATCTTTCGTTAAAGAGCAGTTCACAGCCACTACCCTACTCTTTCCTATGGGAGCTTCTAAATGGAGTCCAATAGTTCTACAGCCCAGTACCCCAGAGCTTTGTATCACTCAATCCACACTCACTTTTCCAATCAAACCTGAAGGTTTTGATTTAAACCCCTGTTGTGACTACATCCCGACTACATTTTCTGCTTCATTCGAAAAATGTCACATTAAAAAAGCTAAAGATGCTCTGACTTCCATTTCACTGTGACTTTAATTTGAAAACAGAGGTACGAATAACAAAACTGCTGAAAAAGCTACATTTGGTTTTATCATTCCGTACATCAGAGCTTCAGGGGATGCCTCCCTGTCCAGAGCTCTTCTGCCTGTCTACTGCATCACTGGCTTTGGTTCTGTGTCCTTGCCTCTCTTTATTTATATTTGGAAAACGGTTTCACAGAGAGCACCGCAAACATTTTAAAGAAGGAGTCGGGCTGATAATGCAGAGTAAAACCTGTCATTGTCATCGGCAGTGAAACGTAGCACCAACAAGCACATTGTAGGTGAGAAACATCCCTCAGGTGGTGACTTCTCCATTTTCTCTCCTCAAGCCCTGTCTGTCAGGTGATGGGTAAATCCTTCTTAATGTTTGGGCTTTGAGAAGTCTGTCGTGTCAGAGAATCAAAGGATTTAGAATATTCTGCAACAGAGAGGACCCTAACCTCTTCATGTTTGAACACATTGTATTGTGAGACAGTGACACGGTATGCTGTGGACAGTAGATTAGAAAGCAGTTTGTCACAGAGTACCTGCACGTAAATACCAACGTTTGATCGAAAAGTGACCTTTTTTTTTTAATAAATCTAAGTTAGAATGCAGTTGAAAGAGAAACAATATAAGGAAGAAAAAGCCAAGAGTAAATTGAAACTTAATGAAATTGCTAATCTTTCTTGTCGAGTCATCTCGCCAGCACACGATATGTTTGTCTCTGTGTTTTAGACAAAGAAAAATTGCTGTCACAGTCAATGGATTACAGTGCCATCATTCTTATCCATTGTTTCTCTTCATTCTCAGACAGTCAGCAGACAAGAGATTAGGACTGGAGCACTGATGCTGAAAGGAACAGAAGCTTGAGAGAATCACATAAAAAAAAAAAAAAAAAAAAGAAAAAACGACAGAGAAGCTTGGAGGTATTCTTGTCTGACTGCAATATCTTCACACCCTGCAGTCCCCAATGCCAATAAACAGCAAACCTCTATAAGAGTGTTAACGTTTAGTCTGACTAATGATGAACCTGAAACGTCTACATACTCGCACTGCACAAGCCTTAAACATTTGGCTGTGTGTGTAAGGCTTAAGAAAGTCCTAAAATAAGCTTAGAAAGAATATACTGTATATTTAAATTGTAACTTAGTGGCATTTATTTAGTTTTACCTTTTTATTTAAAAGTGCTTTTCTTTGAAGAGAGTCCAGAAGTTTGTTGAATGAAATTATATTCCTGAATTCTTCCACAGTACTCTCTAGTGAAAACCCCAAAGTGGGTTCTCACTGATAAAGATAAAAATTTCATATGCTTTACACCACCTACAGAAAAATTGAACTTGATTTGATTAAGATCCATCTTTTGTACTCCGTCAAATGAAGAGAGGTGTCTTAAAGTGCCTCTCATGCCTTTCTGTTTTCAAGTCTCTTAACCAACCAGCAAATAGAATAGAAACTACTTCACCCACCACTTCAAACATAAAGCTCAAACTGGAGGGGAAAAAAGCTTTCGCGTATTAATGTCAGTTTGTCCCCAGATGGTCTTTTCATTTATGTCTAAAGCCATGATGTGTCTGAACATTAGCATTTGCATTACAGAATACATTTGCATGTTCGTGTTTCACCACGTGCTGTGCAGACTGTGGTTTTACCCTTTTTCAGCTTGGGATGGGACACACTTTAGAAACATCTGATTCGACCTTTGATTTGACTCCGTAGGTGATCGAGTAAACTCACAGGCTGCAGGTCGTTCATGCTGATCGGGAGCTCTCTCAGAGTCAGCAGCAGGTCGAGTTGTGTGCTCAGGTAGGGGATGTTGCACATCTGTAGAAGGGGAAAGGTGTGAGCGTAATAGGCTGAGTGTATACAGGACTGAGTGCAATTATCACATCATCACACAATCTATTACCATGTGATTATTCAGAATTATTTAAAAAACAGTGCTGCAGGGAGTTGAGATACAGTCGCTGGATGGCTGCAGCTTGCTTTCACAGACTCAAGTTCTTTGGCGAGATTACCTCAGGCAAAAGTAGAGCGGTGCGGGCCTGTCGACAGGCTGATTTAATAGAGAAACTGAAGGCTTGACACCTTGAAACGATTGGCTGAGCTGCCTAGTCGACCTTTGAGTCAGTGCTAACCTCTAATAAATCACTCCACATTGTCAGACCGTTTCGCTCATGCTCAGGTACTATCTCCCAAAAGGCAAAGGGCACTTGGTCTGACGGATGGTTAAGGAGAGATATTAGGATTAGTGTTAGAAATCAAGGCCATGTAATCATTTGGCTATTTATAAAAATAAATTGTCCCAGAATGTGTCATCCTCCACACTCTCAAGCATCGTTCTCCTCATCTTGTCACATTTTCTGACACATTATAAATTTCTAATGGGGAGGTTAACAGATCACACTGATTCCATGCCAAGGTAACGCTGTTATAATTTAATTCCTCCTTGGCTAAAAATGTATTCGCACATTAATCTCTGCGTTTAAAGTAATGACAATCTCAGACATTTTTTAAGACTTTTTTCTCAGATCCATAATATTTTTGAGATATAAAAATACACTTTCGTAGAATTTCTGCTTTGGTACAGCACAGGATTTAAGTTCCCAGTGAAAGCATAACAGGCAGTGTAGTGCCAAAAATAATAGCCTGCAAAGCGCTAGATTTGGATTCATTTCATGTTAAGGAAAAGGTCAGTGCTCCATCACTAAAATATTGATAGTTTCTCTTTAATGGTAAACAATTTGTTTCCAGATGCCACTCTTGTGTCCTCTGCAGACAAACTGAGAGGAAAGATATTACTGTTAGACAGATAACTCAATTTTCACCTGTCTAAAGGAAAACAAGACATAAGTATCTTTAGCCATGCTAGTAGCTCAGTGAGGCTGATAATTGGCAGAGCTGTACATTAGCAGCATGCTAACTTGCTCACAATGACAAACTGATGTCATAAGGTCTAATGTTAACCATCTTCCATAGTGTGCTAGCATGCAAACATTTGCTAATTAACAATAAACACAAATTACAGCTGAGGCTGAGGAGAAAGTAAATGAGATTTGCAGGTATAAACTTTGACCTGATGATGAACCATCAGACAGACATTGCCACCCCTAGAGCCACACTGCTGGCTGGACTAAGAAAGCACTACATGCAAAGCACTAGCAGACCACACATATTGTTAATAAAAGGGTATATACAGTGCGGTACAGACAGCAGCTGAGGTCGACTATCCTGTGCGGCACATGGAGGACAGTTCAAGTGGTAACAATGCTAAAAGTTGTTCAACTGTGATGATTCATAAGAAATGTGTCAGCCCTTTCATTTTCTTTAATAATTTAATTGGTTTTAGGGGGGAAATGTGTGGAATGGCTGAAAATTGCAGAACATTAGATTATTATTTTTTTATTCCAAAGACTGAGCAATCATCTTAGGAGCTTCAACTGATGCAATTTCAGTTTCTATTAAGTGCAATATTTGAATACCTACCTTAGTTGGCGGCAATAAAAAGGACTGATAGTGATTTCTATTTAGTAGCATTCAGGCTGACTGCTGTGAAAGCATGTGCCTCTAGAAGTATGTTTCCAAAGGCGATACCACACTGTTTCTTACATATGAAATCCCTATATATCCCTCTATATCTGGTGTCAGATATTCCTGAAAAACACTGTAGGCTGATCCTGCTGTTCATCTGTTACCCCTCCTGCATCCTTTAGCCAACCGCACACGGGTCAGATGACTGCCAAGCATGCTGGAAGGTGATAACCAGATGAATGCAAAGAGCTTGTCATGACACCCACAGTGTGTGAATGAGGAGGCAGGTGAATGTAGACTCTACAAGCCCTTTTTAAAGAAAGTGCTACATCAGCGCGAGCTGCGTTAGATTCTGCTCGGGTCACGCTGTCACAAGGCAAATGCAAAGGAAGTTGCCATCTTAATTCTGGTAGTCATAATTCTGGCTTGTAAGGGGCAATACAAACTGTACCTCCATCATGTACTGGTCCACAATATGCAGTTCTGTCACAGGGCCCTTGTGAGATTTGTACATTTCCACATCATCCATGGTGGGGACGTACCTTAAACATAAAAGCAAACATAATATGTCAGTAGCCGTACTAGTTTTTAAAATACTTGAAGGTGACAATGAGTTTTGGTTATCTCACATGAAAAGTTCCTGTATTTCTTTTTTCCAACTTCACACTTTGAGTGTTATAACACTACCTATATTTTTATTACATTTTTAAAACTCTGATGTTGCTCTTTTCTCCATGAATATTTAATGTGATAGGAGCCACGTTTTTAGGCACTTTAACAGTCTTCCATTGTGACTGAATTTGTGAATAAAACTCCAAGCAGGTGTAGATCAGTCAGTAGAGGTGAGAGGAAAATCTAACCAATGAGCCTTTTCTTTTGGAACACATTAGCTATTTGGCACATCATAAGAATAAATTACATTAAATTAATTAATTAAGTAACATACAGTAAAGATTAAGTCAAGTAACTGCTTGATTGCACCGGGATCGCATCAAGGCTGCGACGCAGCTGCCTTGGCTGATTGCAGCCACTCAAGACAATGCTTGTGATTCCACCAGACACACCGCAGCATGTTTCAGAAGCAGCAGAAACAGCATAGAGAATCCTGTCAACAAAAAACCCTGAGTCGTAAAAACGGACAAAAAAACGAAACAGCTACATAGCTTGCCCACCGTAGAAGTACTTAAAGAAAGAAATAATGTAAATAATGAAATCTGGGTAAATAACAAAACATGGCAGGAAAAAGGCTCCACATCTGAAACACTCCCGGTGGGGCATGAAGCTGCGTGTAGGATGGACCAACAACAGTGTTACACCTCGCTGTGAGGTGTAAAGGTGTACTCCAGGACCCTGTCACATCACTGGTGTGTGTGGTTACAGGTTGAACCGAGCAGATATCTGTCGTCTGCTTCAGCTCAGAGAGGGCAGCCATGGTGTTAAGGTACTCTTTAAGCCTGGATTAACTGAATGTTTAGCCACTTGGAGGCAGCGAAGACAGGCTGTGAACAGCACTGAAATATTAACACCTCTAAAGTTGATACAGCTAGGTGTTAGTAAATAGTTGCTTACACATCCAGCAGTTACAGAGCACCATTATCATCAATTTGAAGTTGTGTTTGTGTCCCCCTGATAACTGGAAGTCCAATATTCACTCTCCTAGCTCGGTTCTTGGTCTACACCAACTCCTGAGGGAAATATGTGGCTCTTGAGCTGCTAAATGCTCCACTATGTTCACCAGCTAGTTGTTAGCTGTGTCTGTCAGCTGTTTGATAAACTCACCGTACACTACCTGCTCAGCTCCAACCGAAAACCGACACTGACTGTGAGCCAATGCAATAAGGTGGAGGGGAACTGCAGAGTGCACCACAATATATGTGACACATATCACCTTACAATCATTTGATCGAGTGCCATTATAAAAATATTTATCCACTTCAGATTGGAAACAATAGTGCACCATAGTCACATGGTTAGGAATTATCACAAAAATATTCACACATGCAAAAAGAAACGTCAATAGAAGGATTGCAGAGAAGCTTGGTAACAATCACAAAAGTAGAAACTTTCTGAGCTCATGTCTGCAGGTGGCATAGTGAATATTTTATCGTTAAGGGGAAACAGTGCATGCTGGAAATATATAGTGTCTGTATAGTCAGCTGTATATGGATTGGGTTTCAACTGTTTGAACACATTCAGTGGGTATTGATTTGACTAACTTATTCAGAATTGATTGTTTGATTTATTAATAGCACTATCAATGAATAGTAATAATAATTAATTAATTAATAATTTATCTATATTGTAACATTTATTTATTTGCATGTAATGTTATGTTGGTGGGTGAGGACCATCACAGAAAATGACGCTGACAGTGAACAGCTGCAGCTGCTGGCATGGATAATGGCATCGCTGGTTACAGTTGTGCAAACAGAAAGTCTAGGCGAATTAATACATTTAATGTATGCGGTTTTGTTCCTCGTCTGCATATTTAAAATCCAATAGTCCATATGCAAAATATTGGTCCTTATTTATCCAACAGGGGAAAAAAGCATATATACCCATAGAACCGGGTAACGTCACAGCTGGTGATGTTTTTCTTTCTCTGCCACAAATACTTTCCCATTTTGACCTTTACGTCTTTATGTCGTCACATGTTCTGTAATTCCCTCCCTCGGCCGGTCCCATTACATTGATTTCCCATGGCCTGAAGAAAGGCAAGTGATTAAAAGCCAAGTCTAAAGCAGCAAGATGTTGATGGGAACAGCCATTTACTCGCTTGCACTGAATTTGAACCCCGCTCGTCTTAAAGTGGACCTCCTCCTTCTGTCATTTCCGTGAGTTCTGACCGTAAACCAAAGGCATTCACTTTTTCATGAGCCAGCCTATGTGCCACTGGAGGAGCACCGGTCATTAATATTGCAGCACGTGTTGGGAGTGGTTCTTTCAAGATTGTATTCCTCAGGCCTACGCCACAGTGCATTAAAATATATATTATGTTTTCATAGAATAAATAAAATCCTCCACACAGTACATTAGATCACTCTCGCCTTCCAGGAGGTCAGCATCCAAAGCCACTGAGTAAATTGCAGGTAAGAATCAGGAAACATTTTACCCGCTTTCAGTCTTATATTCCTGAGGGCATGTCAATAGTTTCCATCTCCGCAAATAACCAGAGATAAAACTTTTATTAGTAAAGCTGCTCTGGTAAAAGGTTCTGGCATCTGCTCTTTAGTATTAAAACACAGTGAAGAACTGCTATGCAAACTGTGTCTCCCTCACATGAACTGGCTGTGGGTTCCCCTGTTTCTCAACGTCTCAACTGTACCGTGTACTCACATCTCTTGTTGATGATGTGCTAAGCTGCAAGTGTCCAAAGGTTTTGTCTCTGCCAATGAAAACACACATCAACCGTCTATGGACTCAAAACGTCATTCACCTCTCAGCTTCAGTTGTGACACTTATAAGAAATGAGGAATGAATACAAATTAGTGTTTTTTGGCACAAATTCATACCTCCTCAGAGAGGTGATGTGCTCATCAGACAGGCCTCCATCTTCCTCATTAATGATGAACAGTTTGTCCTTCAGCTCTCCCGGTTGCACTGGAAAACTTTTGAGGAAAATGTCTAGAAGAACAATAGAATCAGGGAAAAAAAAGTCAACACACTCAATAGTACATGAAAGCTTTCCTCTTGACAGATAGTCTTCTTATCCTGTGATGAAATGACTCAAAAAGTATTCTGAAGACAAAGGGTCCTTTGCTTAATTACTTTCCCCCAAATGCCTAAGGGAAATGCACAAATTTGCATTCTATCAAGTCAAAGCTGATGTGATTTTTTTTGTTTTACAGAAAATGCCTCTGCATAATTCAGGAGCTGTGAGAAGCATTCATTAGGAGCCTGCGTCAGTAATTTTAGACATGTATGTAAAACACATGGTGAATTTCACAAAATACGTTTGAGATGTTCGAGTCAGTCAGGCGCTTTGGCGTTGATTTGGAAGTGTCAAGTCCAACTTTCGTTTGAGTGGAAAAACAAGTGGAGCTTTGTATTCTGCACCGCAATATGGCACAGCAAAATGTGCAAACGACGGTCAGTGGCCCAGCCAAGAAATAGTTCTAGCATGTAACTCCCCATGAAAACCACAAATTGTTGTTTTTGTGAACAGATTAAAACAAATGAGATGCGTTAAATAGGGAGGTGCTTTTATTCAGATTTTGCAGGCTAGTTGTTTACCTCTTTTCACTCTTTATGCTGTCTCCGGCTTCATACCAAACAGACAAATATGAGTGAGGTATCGATCTTCTCATCTAACTCTCAGCAAGAAAGCTGATCAGTATATCTCCCAAGCTGTCAAACTATTTTTTTAGTTGCCTATAGAGGTTGACTTGGGTCAAATTGTTCTATTGCTGAATCCAAATTATCCAACTGATTGAAAATCTACTCATGACAAAATGAATAAAATAATCATATTAAATGAGAAGCACTTTGGAAGTACAAAGCTGTAATCATCACGTCTCTAAATCCTTGACATTAAAGACCTGAGACAGTAAATCCCTCACCAGGACCAACAGAGGCTGTCGTGTCACATTTTCAAATGAGGAATCACGACATCAAACATCCAAATAATGTTGAGCTCTACTAGTCCTCAAGAGTGAGGGTTAGGCTCCTAGCCTAAAAAAACAAAAACAAGTGCAAATCAAGCCCTTTGTTGACTGGCACTCAGACAAACTGGGCATTGCCCTGGCAAATTAGAGTATAGAGATGGAGAGTGTATCCCACTGGGTACAGGAAGCCACAGGTGTACTTTTAATTAGGAGTGCGACATTTCCAGTCATTAAATAGGCAGCATGCACAGGGGCTCTCGAGGTAAATAACCATATTAGTTGGACACACATTCTAAACAGAAATGCGCTATGATCATACAAACGCACAGTTGATCTCACGCATTCGTGGAAAGATTAACTCAAGTACTTTTTCAAGTACTTTTTTTAATTAAACCCCACCTCGACCAGTTACAACAGGAAATTGCGGCTTATGCATTAATTAATCCGTATAAACAATCAAATAATGTAAAATATAATACTATATCAGTCACAGGGTCATTTTTCAGGTACTTTAACTTTTGTTTCTAATAGTTCTGCACTTCTACCTAAGAAGGCTTTTGTATGCATGATTTCTACTTGTATTGGAGTGTTTTTACTCCACTACAAGTTTTGTGTTTGGTACTTTTACTTAATGAATGGGTCTGAATACTTCTACCACCATTGATCTCATCAAAGGTGACAGCTAACTCTGACAAATTGCAGAAGCTGGTCTGTGTGAAGACATTTCATTTGATCAGAGTTTATTAAAACTTAAACTGATTTAAAAGTTGCGGTGGCATGCAGAGAAGAGCCAGTTACAGCTAATATAGAATTGCAGCACACACACATTTACACACAAACTTAGAATCTCTGTCTTTCATCTGCTCATGGGTATTTTTCAAAAGAATGCAATCAGAAAAATCAATATGAGCTACAATCTTGTTGTCTTTTGGATTTGTACTTGGAATACTATAAATAAGTACATGGATCATTACAGAATTGTCCTATGGTCCGTTGATGCAACTAATGTTCTTGCTTGCCCACAAGGATCATGTTGATTACCAGAGGAAACCACTCAAAACCGCAGTACAACAGTAATACAACCACCTGCTCAAGCTGTCTAACTCCATCTGCCTCAGTATGTAACTGCAAACAACATAATGTTTTTAAAGTCACAGTGGAAACAGTAAGAGTGCCAGCTTCACGCCAGATCCTAATCAACAGCTCTTAGTTTAATCATTAATTATTGATCACATACTTGTGATATTATCTGATCGAGGTGTAGCCCGACAGTCTGCTGAGGTTTTGCACTATGTTTGTAAAAACAATGTGAGATTTCGCATGCATACTGTTGCTCCCAGTGTAATTGGATCAGATGAATAAATATTGTGGCAAAGAATGAGATATGAGCTGAATAAACAGCACACATTTAAGCAGGTTTGCAGTGATAAACATGCAAACAAGGGCAGGGAAGGCATGTGTGAGTGTGTCTGTGTGGGGGATGCCAAGAGAGAGAGAGAGAGAGAGAGAGAGAGAGGGAGAGAGGTCCTGTTGGTTTCAGTGAGAGCTGAATCCTGGAGCAGTTCCTGTGTTTTTAAAGTGTAAAAAGGCAGAAATCACCTTTGATCTGATTCTGTTTTTATTTGATAAAAAGCTTACCGATTGTCTTTTCAGTTGTTCAGAGTATTGGTCATAATATAGGTCAATAGCTCCAATACAAATGCAGTGCTGTGATGTTTAGATACTTGCACCAGGGGAGGTTCTAAAAAATGCTTGGCCACCCCAGTTTGGTGTCAAATGCTGTAAATGCTGTAAAAAATGATAAATAATTTAATGATCTGTTATGGACACGTTTTAGGCGAAGTAATAGGCTTAAGTTCAGTGAAAAAAGAAGATTTGCAAATAAAAGATTGTACTGATTTCTAATGCCACCTTTAGATATTTCTGTGTGCCACAATAATGTAATGTTTTTGAGTTAAAACATCTTCATTTGGGGGTTTTCCAAGCAAATACTGATATATGTGATTGTTTGTGATTTGTATTTTTTGCCACCCCTAAAGTCTCCATGCCCGTCAATGAATATTTCTCTAGATCCACCCCTACACTTTACTTAAGTATTAGCATTTAGCCATACATCTCCACTACAGTTCAGAGGAAAATGTTTTCACCCCCTCTCACTTTGCTGATCACAATTACTTTTACTGGAGTGACATTTTCATTGGGCTTTTACTTGTAGTGGAGTATTTCTACTGTATAGTGCAGTATTGTTACTTTTAAGTAAAGGATCTGAATATTTCCTCCACCACTGGTGAAATGTCACTTTCTATCTTAATTAATAGGACCAAAGTAGGTGAGACAGTATGACAGAGTTTCCCTTGTTCTTCCAATGTCTAAATCTTTCTAAAGCTTGCAGCAGGAAGATGCATAGCCTCGGGTTGCCTGCAGGCTGTCATCACTCAGCTCCTGCTCCTGACACAACTAAAGTTTCCAGGTCAGAGAGGAGCACAAACTCCAAATGCAGGGGGATTCTGTATCAAGTCAGAAAATCGCTGTCGTTGTCGCTCAGATCCCCTATCCATATTTTATGAATATGTGAACTCTAATTATGCTGCCGGTTCTCACACACACTGATTCCATTTAGCAGCCCACCACCACCACCACATCTGTGTCACTTCACCGTGTGTGTGCCTCTTGGAAGAGCTGTGAGAGGAAGCTTCTAACATGTTCTCCCCTGGCTTGGGTCTTGAAATATACAAACCATGTACACTCAGTTAATCAAAAGTGAAAAGCCATTAGATGAGATATAGAATATGTTCCACCTCACAATAGCTCTGCAGATTGCATAGGCAGTTATGACACTGCAGGATTGGTGACACACTGCCCCCTGCAGACACGTAGGAGGAACATCCATCTATCTGCTTTACAGCCACCGTGGCATCATTATAGTCTCAACCATCGTTTTAAAAGAGCAAAATGGCAGCATTTATAGGCCCTCCCTAAAAGAGTTGTCAGGTCATCTTCCTCTTAATTGGGCAATTAAAGTCTAATTTATGAAAATTAAAAAGCCTGACATTAACAGTGCTCCTACAGAGAGTCTTATTATGTGGTGCTTCCCTCTGGTGGTTTTGGAAAGAGCTTATTTTACACCACAACATCTAATTCACTGAAGGAATAAGCTCCTTTATTTGACTTAATCCAGAAGAATGCCTTTTCATTACAAAATGGAAATTATATTTATTATCTTGCTGGCAAAATCCAATTTCCATCACAAAATGCTGGAAATTATCTGTTGCAGTGGACAATATTTATAAGCAACATCACCTCAGCACTCAGAAACATATTCATTGTTGAGCTACTCACTGAAGTTGTGTGCAATCTTCTGGTTGAGCATAATATGCTGGGTATTACTCGGCTCAGCCGCTTCAAACGTCCCCAGATCTTTAACAGCAAATTGCTCATATAAGCGCGATGTGTCGATTTCAATCCTCTTGCTGCTTTTTTGTATCCAAAATGATTTTGCAATCTGCCAAGAAACAAATTAATTCAGTACTGAGACAACTCCATTTTATGAGGAAATCAATGTTAACATTACAAAAAGCAACACCGGGGAAGCAACAACTGACAGACAAAACAGAGAATAATTTCCAACAATGATGCAATATGAGGAATAATGAAGTAAAAACCAAGTTGCAAGTGACCTTTCTGTGTATAACACTGTATTTAAATATGAATAATTTACTCTAATGAGAGCCTTTCTGGGCTTTATCCCTAACTGTAAACATATGGTAATTTAGTGTCTTTTGATGAATGAAGTTTTAACTGACAAGTGACAGTATTACCTTCTCTGAGCCAACTACATCCCAGTGGAAAGCCTTGGTGTATGGTTTTCTTGAATTTGTCCTCAGTTTGAAGGGTAAAGGTGGGGGCAATGGGATTTTTGGGGGTGCAAGCACTTTCACCACTGAAGAGCCTGATTCCTGGGTAAGACTCTCTGGGACTGTGGGAGAGGATGTGAGGGCATTGTTGGGGGGCGAGGGTTGAGGGGAGGTGGGTGAAGATAAGGCAACAACACCAATGGGAGAGGTCGGTGATGGGTGGGGAGGCAAAACTTTAGGCCCGGAAACCTGAACAGCAGTCTTCACAGTGCTGCGAGGTTTAGGAACAGGCGTTGTGTGATCGGCTGAGAGACTTTGACCCATGTCATCAGCTGATTGATGATCACCACCAGCAGTAGTGGGATCTTCATTTTCATAATCGGCTGGAGGATAATTGAATGTCATATTTTCACCATTTGATTCAAGATCTGTGTCGGTGTTCTCCGCGTCTTCGTTTATGCTGATATTTTGTAGACCCCTTATTTCCTCTGGCATTTGTTCAGCCCTGGACTTCCTCTTCCAGTCTTTACACAGTTTGTCAATGGCCTGGACCCAAGCATCCCGCTGCTCCTGGACAGCCCCAGGAGGAGTAGTTTGATCTGGTAAAGGGACCTTGAACCTGCAATAAATCAATAAAACTTAACTCAACTTCCCTCATCGGCTGAGATAGGTTCGGTAATTAATACTCTAGGCCTATATTTATGACATTATGACTCCATGGAGGCTGCATCATAACTGCTACCAAAAAAAGCGACTGACTGAAATTACACACTATAACAAGGCAGCAAATACATTTGAAAAAAAAAACACAGCTGATGTGATAGACAGAATCCATTAACAGTTTGTTGTTGTGATTACTTCCACATTTTAATAATCCTCACTCACTGGTACTCATTTTTGTGGGTGATCAGAGTGAAAGTGTCTGAGCAGGGAGGTTTCTGTACGCTGGTGTTTCCGTCTGACAGGTGAATCACGACCGACACGGGCACGGACGATGTCACCTCACCGTCGGTGGGGCCTCGTCGTCTGAATGGGACCAGTGTTAGCTGGCCTGGGTGGAGTTGGACCTCATATCTGGAAACAAAATGGAGTACTGTGTAATATAAGTCACAGTAACAGAATCTGAGCTGTGTCCCAGTTCCACCAGCTGTATTCAGCATACTGATTGTGTATTGATTTAGTATATTACATGTTTTACTCGGCTAAACTTTAACCCCCCAATTCTGGATTTCTGAGGCTGATACTGATCAATATTTGGGATTTAAAATCCAATAACTGTTTCTAAATTACCTCAAACCTAGTTTGGCATCTTTGTGTTGTGATCAGTGGTGTAGTACAGGGTATACGCAGGTATACAGAGTATATTATTTTTCACTTAGCACTTAGCATACCCACTTCTAAATCCCCTCTAATGTGCAGCATTCAGAGAATTGTTTACCCAGGATGGTATGATATAAGTAAGAAATAAGTACTTCATTCAAAAGGAATAATAACGTAGTTGTCTCACCCATCTGTCAGCCAGTATTTATTGAAAAATCTGCACCTCTTCTGTGTTCTGTTAAATTCATAATGACTCTTTCTAAGCAGCAAGCAGCAAAAGCTATGCAAATACTACTACTGTTTTTTTTAGGTGAACTAAATATGCAAGAGTAGTCTTACATGTCACTGAATATAACTCAGGGCATTTATCATTTGATGAAAGGGCTGTTTAAAGTAAAAGAAAAAGCCATAACTGCTACAAAAATTGGTTATAAATTGAAGAGTGTACCCAACCCCCACTCCTGGCACTACTACACTATTGTTGTTAATCATCAGCCAACATAAAACACTATTTCAGTCTAGCTCTATTGTGTACAAACAGATTATGGTGCAACAAAGGCGGCAACAAACATCAATGTGACAAAGAGAAAGCATAATGTAATAGTTAGGAAATACACTTCAACGCTGTCATGCCAGGCATATGTACAGTATGAGAAGATACCACTCTCATCTTAGCTAAGCCTGGAGATGGTTAGCTTAGCATAAAGACTGGAAACAGAGGGAAAAAGCTAGCCTGCCTCTGTCGGAGGTCACATAGGGTATGTGTGTTTATATGTGTAGACAGCCATATGGTCAAATGCTTCTTTTGATTTATTCCCTTTATTTCAACTTTATTCTCAATATTTTGATTTTATTCTAAAAAAAAAAAAATCTTTCTTGTATAATTTTTTTTTTTTACTTATGCCTGGCCCTAATACTCCTTCGTAGACACAAATAATTACTCAAAGCAGAGTATTTTTTATGACTTAGTCTGGAGGGGATCTTTAATTGTGTCACTTCTCCAGCGTGCACAGAAGACAAACGCAAAACCTACTTAGAATTCACAGTCCTGTTTTAAAAAACAATTTATAAAGTGAATTAAAAATATGTATTTGTAACTGGGAGCATGGGTCTGAACACGTAGCCACAAATAATTTATCATCCCTAACTATGCTGCACATTTGTTGTGTAGCTATTTTACAATAAGAGATAAGGACACATCCGTACTTCACCCATCTGAATGATGCCAGGCCGCCTCGGTGCAGTAACAAGACGCCTTGCTGAAGGGTCTGTGATGCTTGAGGCTGCTGATGCATTTCTGCATCACTCTCTTCAGGATCACTGTATATGTTCCCATAAATGATCTGATTCAGGAGTTGAATCATCTGTTCAAACAGAGAGAATCACCAGCATTAAAAAAAATCCCTGTGAAAGCATCAATAACAATTGGCCACAAAGGAAGACAAGAATAACATCTTCCCTCCTCTTAACACAAAGTGTTTTAACAGTAATGACAGACCCAATAGAGTTGTAATGAGAGTAAATAAGTATGGTGGTTTTCAATGTGCTGGTTTATTTTTAGAGTTTAAATGCACCCACAGTAAGTATAAATTCACCTTGTGTTTGTCCTCCAGTGAAGTGGCCTCCAATTCATAATCATGATGTCCTTTAAAGGAAATGGAGAACCTGGAACCCACTCCATCATCACAACTCTTGACAATGGAGAAGGGAAGTTGTCGCTTGATGATACCTTTTTCAATGCTGCACAGCATTTTGGTCTTTAAATCAATCTGGGTCATCACAATGAGAGGGTTTAAATGAGTGAATTAGCGCATATCTACAGTACATACATCCATTATCTACAGTATAAACACTTATCCTTCGCAGGGTCGCGGGGAGCTGGAGCTGACATTGGAAGAGACACTGTATATACAACACATATAGAAATATCTGCAATGATTTTTTTTTTTTTTTACATACTTCAAGAATCCCACTGATTTTGTTGACCACTTTTCCTGTGGAAATTTGGGACAGACATTCCTGTCCCCCTCAGGATGCATTGTAATTACTTTGGTGATCAATTATCTTCATTCATCTGATACTTTGGTTTCTGACCAAATACTTGCAGAATGGCATTCCTGTTCACCTCAGATGGGCAAATGAGCAATGTTAGCCTGCTAACACCCGGATGAACTCGCTAAACATCATGTTCAGCATTGCTGTGTCTAAGAACAGCTTAACAGAGCTGCTAGCATGGCTGTGGGCGCTTTTTTTCATAAAAAAAAAACAAAACTCACCTGAAGAACCCGCTTCTGCCATCTGTAGTGGTTGTGCTTGCGAACACTGAAGTTGTACTGTGAGGGCTGCTCTTCCTGCAACAACAGCCAAAAAAACCCACATGTCAGACATTACTACCTAATAGGAAAACACCTTTTCGTCATTTTAAGGTCAGCATCTTTTATTCCCTGACTGTTTCCTGCTAAGGCCTAGAACATTAGCTACAAAATTCCTTCGAAAAAAAAAACTGGCCTATTTAAAAACCGATCCAGCAGGCTGAACAGCTTATTAGCACAACAATGAGCAGAAGTCTGTCATTTCCTCCAACCTTTTTTTTTAAAGTAGGCTATTCACAAAGCAATACAAGATGCAAATGCTGTCTTTAAACTGATTGCATGTTAAATGAGAAGACCAATACCACTCTCATGTCTATGTGTTGTGTGGAGATTTGGGTCAGGATAGCATTAAGAATGGAAGCAGTAACTTCCTGGAGTCTTGTTGTCACTGTGAGGTTGCAGTGCGGACTGTGAGGGGGGGCAGGGACGGTGAAAATAAAAAGGGCACAACAACTTTTCTAGCATGTAGTGCTGCCGACATGGCACTGCATCACATTGTCTCCACTAGAAGGTCACCTTAGGGGGCAATATATCACATTTTCTTGCACATTGGGCCACCCTAGAGGGCACTTAATCATGTTTCATCTATCGTAGGGGCATCCAAGAGTGCACTTTTGCAGCTTTTTTTTTTCACCCAGCTCTGACTAGTTTCCCATTTTCCTCAAAATAGAAGAATAGAAACTCTGCGATACTAAAACTCAGGTTAACATGAGAATTTGGGGATCACAGCCAGCAAAATACTGAGAAAGCGTGGTTTAAAATGGTCGTACCTCTTCAGCCAGGCTCTCCTGTTTGGGCAGATTCCTGTCTTTCCGTGCCTCTTTAAGAGCATCTTCAATAGTCAACTCTCCCGTCTTCACCCGAGTCATGAGGTTCAGCTGCATCTCATTGCTCAACTGCAGGCACAACAACATGGGGGGGGAGTGTAACCGTATTATTAACTGGAAATGTTAGGATTTCTTATTATCTTTCTACGTCCACATTTAAGCAGCAATTTCTATTGTGAACCAAACATATTGCAGGTGAACAATTATGGTTCATATTTCCCAAAATATGCATGTTAAAGTGACAAAAAGAGGTTAAATTGTCTTTGCATTTGGTAAACTAACAAATAACTCACAGATCGCAACTATACGTGCAATATGAATGCTATATGCTTTTATAAAACCTTGGTAACTCTTTATATGAAGATACACATATTCACCGTTAACAAGTGGTCTATTAGCAATGCATATTATTAGCATACTGACTCTTTATTCAGTCATTATAAAGCATGTCTTGTTTTGCATGACCATATTCCACAACTATGAATGACCTCATTTTAAAATGGCGAACATATTGAGTTCTATTGAGTTCAGTTATTTGGACACTATTAACACCTTTAATTTATGTTTAGTTACATAAGAATAGACCATGTACTACCACTAAGCACATTAAGTTCGTAATCTATGTACAACAACCTCCTTACTTACTATAAATAAGCAGTAATTAGAAGGAAACTCAATGGCCTGGTAGTGGTAGAATATGGTCATCCAGATGCTTTATAATGACCCATAAAAAGACAATATGCATGCTTATAAGCATCTGTGCTCTTTCATGCTCAGGTCTATTTAGGCGTCATGCAGCATTTAGCTTCAACAATGCTTCACAGAAAATAAATGTTCTTTCAGATATGTGTGATGGTTGATAAGCAAGACAAGATTAGTCAGTCTCAACTCAGTGGAATTGTAAAGAGGAACCACTGGGCTGCGACGTACAATCACCATCTGCATCTGTCAAACATATGCTATTACAGGAACATACAGCCTTCCTTAAATCAGTCATTGTCTGTCAAGTTTCTGAGTAAATTAGCGTTCCTTTGTGGGAAACTACTAACAGCAGGGAAGTCAGCTTGAATTGAGGAAGTATGCTTGAGAGATTTCCCACATACTGAACTAAAACTGTGTCCCCTCTTACCACACAGGCCTGACGTTAATGAAAGTGAGGGGGCTGTTTTCTCTGGAGTGGAATACAGGAAAGCTGTTGTTTTGGTATAGTAACTCTGACACCTGCATTGATTTCACACTTTTATAGACAGACATGGTAAATTGGAATTTGACACTTGCTGTTTAAAGCATTTACTGCTTGATGCTTGCTTTCTCGTTTAAGTATATAGACTGAAATCTTACCTGTGGAAAGTCCTCAGTGTGCTTTTCCATTCTGGATAGATTGTCTTTCTTCTTTGGTCCTAAACTTGGCATCGCAAAGTTTTTGATTTCATAAAAAAACCCATGCAACCGCTCAGTCCATGAAATTGATCCTCTTTTTCTATGAGCAATGTAAAAACTGTTTTGTTGTTGGTGTGGTTTTTGTCACGCGAGACCTAAACAGAGATCTGCCTCGCTGACTGGAGAAAGCTGCTGTGATTTGTGTCTTGTTTCTACCACCGCCCCCTTTCAGCTCAGGTTACACTTCTTCAAGGTAAGGCTGACAGTGGTTGTTCAGCCACACCCACCGCAAACACACAAGTTGTCTTTGCAGAACAGCAAACATTTCCTCTCTGTTTACATGTCTGCACTTGCAGGACAATCTGCTCATCTGCTGCTTTGTCCAGGAGCGAGCGCTAAGAAACTGAAGCTCTTCCCCAATACCCCTAATGATACAACACAATACACTAATACAAGCTATATCTCAAAATCTTATTGTCTATACATGAAATATGATATAATTTTACTGAAAGGTTTGAATGGAACTGGTCCAAGAATCATAGCTAATTTGTATGAAAAGGGGTACTTGTGGTTCACACTTCTCTTTCCAATAGTTCCTGTTAGGAGCCATGTTTGTGGTGCTTTTGAACCATTCATCTTACCTCCTCTTACTATGTTGTATCATATATTTTCTCATATTTTAGCTTTTAACTAATCATGGATGTATGCGTGCACTACATACATGAATGTGGCAACATGTAGCAGGCTGATACTGAAACAAAATATTACAAAAATACAAAACTTATTTTAAATGACATTTCAATCTCATAGTATTTACAATTTCTTTTGTAGTATTATTTGTTTTGAAATTAATTTATTGCATTTCTGTAGAATACACACATCACCAGTGGTACACACGCCACAGTTTGAGAATCAGTGGTTTAACAGATACAAAGGTTGTAATGCCTGAGTATTTTACCTCCAAAAACTATTACCTACTTAAAAATGCTTTTTCAGCGTTTGGATAATCTTCTCAGAATGCAAGAAAAACATTACAACATATATGTATGTATGTAATGTATGTAATAACATACAGTATCTACAAACAAAACAAGTTCTTTGAGCTTTCTTGTCCATTTTAAGTAGTTTGTTTAAGGAATTAAACTTTATTTTTAATAATTTACATTCCGTATGTGTCTGTTTTGCTGGGCCTGTCCTCTACTTTCAATATTCTAATTATAATGAAATCTGTTATTTGTGCTCTTGATTTAATAATTGGTGTGTACAGAATACTTTTTTCAGATTTATGTGAATTAACAACCAAAATTACCAACCAGCTAAAGGAAATACTCACATAAAGCAAGAGGAAGGTATATCAGAGAACTCAATATTCAATACCATTCTCTCACAGGCCAGTTTAAGTTGTGGCTTATTAATAATGAACTATGTCAACGTTAGGATATTAGGCTTCTTTCTGCGGTCTTCTTGTTGTCTGTCTTGCCCTTGCATGTTTAATATGGATTTATTAATTATTGCTGGATAAGTGCCATACTATTGTGTGCATTTGTATTAAGATATCTATATTTTAGGGCATCTGGCTAGGGAAAATAAGCCTTTTATGGTAACTCTAGTTCATTAGTTTTTTTTTTCTTCCTGTTGATCAATGAGTCTCATCAACTACAAACTGGACTACAGCTGTGGTTTAGTATGAAATCATTTAAATGGTAAGTGAATTAGACATGCTGTACTGAGGGACTTTATCCATAAAAGGTGGATTATCACCAACAACATTATAGTTTGATGCTTTTATTAATGAAGAGTAATCCAAACTTATTTTCAGATAAACTGTTCAGAAGTCTACTAACTGATATCTCCTTTTAACCTAATATCTAACAAAATGCTCAAATAAAGTGACATAAGTTAAAGCTGCAGTAGGTAACTTTTTAAAACATAAGTTTTTGTCATATATCCTGAAATGTTCACTATATTCTGACAAAAGTACATGAGACTAATAATTTGTGAAAAAATCATGCTCTTCTGACTTTGCAAGCATCCGACGGGCCTGAATGAAAACAACCAATCAGAGCCAAGAAAGATAGAAAAACACTTTGAGTTGGTGACTTGAAGATATTTGATTGTTGAGTCTCATTCCATGTGTTGGTGTTTAATGACCTGGGAATGAGACTAAACAATCAACTGTATTTTTTGGCTCTGATTGGTTGTTTTCATTCCGGTGGACGCTTGCAAAGGCCATTAGGAGCTCTAGGAGGAGCCAGAGGAACATCATTTTTTCACATTGTCTGTATCCTGTTCTACTGTCAGGATATAGTGAAAGTTTCAGCAAATATAACAAAAAGTTATTTTTTTATAAAAGTTACCTACTTCAGCTTTAATATTATAAGCAGGAACAGACACGGACAGTCTCATACATAAGATTTTAGATTTTCTTATTCAAGATGAAAGCAAAATGGAAAATGAAAATATGTGCATCATCCCTTCTTCAATCCTGGTCAACAGTGAACAGAGGCACACAAATGTCAGTACAAAAGAGGAAAAACACACCAAATGTCGAGGTAAAAGTCTCCAGGTTCCATTACATATGTATAATTTATTGCATTAGATTGCAATATAAGTATCATTTCTATTCTTTAACATTGTGTGAGCACCTTGAACTGTAAAAAAAAAAAAAAAAAAAAATCCCCCGGGGATCAGTAAAGTAAATTTCTGATTTCTGATTTCTGATAATTAATAGTTTAAAATAACCATCTCACACAGTTATCTCTTCTGTGACAAGCCTCTGAAACAAACATCCAGGCATACCATGAAGGTAAAGTCTGTGATTTCCATTGAAGCAGACTGTACCATTACTCCTATAGCAGAACCAAGTAATCTGTATAAGGCTGTATTCTGAATATGAGTTAATAGGGATTTTACTAAACCTATAAAGAACAAAATGTGACATGTCTAATATAAAGTTCAGATGTGTCATGTGTTAATATTCCAGTAAATATGTAAAAACTGGCTTATTGATTAATGTGGACACTGTGGACTAGTAATCCATTGGAATTTCCAACCAGGAATAGCTGCTTGTGCTTTTTGGCTGCACCCGGTTCCTGTACCGTAACTGCACGAATACACGTGCAGCAACAAAACCCAACTGACCGCGTTTTAGACGTGTGAAGTGTTGAATACATGCGCAGTGAAGTGCATGTCTGAAGGCTTATAACACAGCAGCCCCCTTCACCAGCAGATACTCTGTGACAGTGTGGGAAACCCCCCCTGTGTGAGAACTTCTTGGGGAATCCCTTCATCTGGTGGGGTTTCAGGCTCTACCATGGAATAGGTGGAGTCAAGAACAATGAAAACAATCAAACTCTTGTCTCTCCTACATTTCCTAAGAAGCGACCCAGCCTGTGAGTAATACATTTATTAACTGTATCGTGTTTTCCCCCTGTGGATAAAACATGAAATTCACTTAAGCTGCTCTGATAGTGGCCTAATAAAAAAAAAAGCTCAGTATCATTTAAAACAGTTATCACTGCTGGAATGTAACTGAATACATTTACTCAAGTACTGTAGGAGAGTTCCTTTGCAAATTAAGATTTTACACACACAATGAGAAATGCATTGCTTTATAAACTATTCCAACACAAAATAAAGAAGTTAAAATTAGCTCCACCTCAGCCAGCTGCTACGGCAAAGAGCTGCTTATATTCATGCATCAATAATAATAATACAATAATATAATACACAGTAATATACCAGGGGTCATTCCTCTCCATAAATAGTACCTTTACTTTCCATACTTTAAGTACACTTTGCTGACGGTGATTCTTTTACAATACAGGACTATTGTTTATTTTACTAAAGTAAAAGACATCTGAGTAACAATAATCCACTGGTAGTCAGGGGCGGATCTAGATGGGTGTGAAATATAACACATAGCTGGATGATCTGTTATGTGCACCTTTTAGACTAAGTGATGGGCTGAAGTTCAATGAAAAAAAGATATGTGTTTGGAACAATTTGAAGATTTGTAAATAAAACAATGTATTGATTTCTAATGCCAACTTTAAGATATTTCTATTCACTGCTTTACTAATGTGCCACAATAATGTAATGTTTTTAAGTTCAAATATCTTAATTTGGGGGCTTTTCTACGGAACTGAGAATGGCCATGGATTTTTCTTTTTTTTATGCACTGTTATCTCGTGATAACGTCTTATCTCGTTATCTTGATATAAAAAGATTTGTTTTCTCAAGATAACAAATTTATTTTGTTATCACGAGAAAACAAACTTGCAACAGTGCATAAAAAAAAAATTTAAATCCATGGCTGTTCTGGGCTTCTGTAGTTTTCCAAGCAAATATTGATAAATGTTTTTGCGATTCAATCATCATATATTTCTGCCACCCCATGTTTATTTCTTTAGATCCGCCCCTGCTGAGACTTACTTAACTTAAATATTCTCCTTATCTAAAACCAACTGCACATTTTCACGGCTGTGGTATTGATACTGTACATAAGGAGAATCCTAGTACCTCTGCACAGTTTTATGGCCCAAAAGCGTGGCAGGTACAATACGATATAGTACAAATTTACAGTAAATGGTCAAGTCACATGGGAAACTACCCCTAACTGCGACTGCGGAGGAGGAAATACCCTCATAGCCAGATAAAGCAGAGCAGAGCACAGCGGAGCCTCGGTGACAGCTCGGTGTTGAAGCGGAGAGCAACATGTTGAGATTACCAGACCAACTCATGAGGATGCACCTGTTTCTGCCGGTGGTGGTGATTTGGGCTCTTACAGTGAGTAACATGATTCATGTATTTCGTTGTTTAAAACAAAAAAGAGAGAGATTTGGACTGCTGATCGGGTTAGTGTAGCCTAAGTAGCTCACTTTACATCGTCGCAATTACATGTTTTTCCTCTACTTGTGCTATAATCTAGACTACATTAGTTTATTCCATCCATCCTTTCCTCATAAGTATAGTTTATTCGGGTATTTTGGTCGAAATTGTGCACATTATTAAGGTTACACCCAATGGCGCACATCGCGTTAAAAGTTACTTTCACTTTCGTTTTCGCCGCAGCCTCTATGGTGACTTAAAGGTTGTGGTGAAAACACATGAGTTTGTCTGAAACCCAATACGCAAAACCATGATATTAATAGCAAAGCCCTCAAAAGAAAGAGCAGAAATGCACCTGGCTGTCATTGAGTTTCACACTGAAAGGCTTGCTGAATGCTTGGGACTTTCCGTCACGCTCCTCTCAGTCTGGTCTGAGGAAGTGAAGCCAACTGCCGTGACAAAGAAAAAACATCACAAGAGAGGATACAAAGCCTAACCATTTTTTTTTCTATGTCACACAGTTGTTTTTGCAGACTGCCGCTCAGCCGTGCGACCCGCTAACGCAGTATAAGAAGAATGAGCAGTGCTGTCAGATGTGTGGTCCAGGTACGTAAACACTTTCTCCTCTGCTGGCTTTGTTACATTACATATTAACAATGTCACTAGATCATTTGTTAATATCACCCCTGGGACGTTGGACTGCAGTCACACAGACTTTGTTGAGGGGTTGTGTCCCATTTGCTCAATGTAGAAAATGTATAAAATAGGGTCCTAACCGACAAATTATGAGTTCCTCCAGTAGATGTGTGAGTAAAGGAGGGGTCAGTCATTCTGGAGACAGATAGCTGTCTCATTCCCAGGTCGCCAAATACCGACATTATGGTTTGCCAGAGGGTCTGTATTTGATGACCTTGGAGCACCACCTGGTGTGTTGTGCGGCCCACTCCGAGTCACTTGTTTCCCATTTACCATAACACAAAGCTAATTCATTCATTTTATTTAATGTTTATTTGATATAAACAGATACAGTTTATATAGAAAGCTGTTTTACAATTATCCAAAGCAATGTATTACAGCATTTATAACTACAGCTAATTTCCAGTGCATGTCCCTAAGGGGCCTTTACAATAAAAGAACATACAAAATGAACATGAAATGTGTGTAGAAGACAAAGATGACAAAAGGCAGCACATTTCAAGATGACTTAACTGATTTACTTTTGCTTTCATTTAGTTTCCCTCTTTTCCTTCATTGGATTCTGTTTCACTTTCATTTATTCACTTTCTTTCCAAGACCTAGAGGAGGAGATCAATACCACTATCATCTCTGTCTGTTATATGAAGCTACATCCATGTAGACCTGAGACAAGTAGTCTGTTTATCGATTATCAATTGTCAGAAAAGTAATTGTCAAGTATTTTCATAACTGTTGCTTAAGTCATTTTTCAGGCAAAAATAGGAAAAACAATCCCTCATCAAATGAGAGGATTGGCTCCTTTTGACTGATTTAAATAAATGTGAAGTGAATCTTTTGAATTTGGGACTTTTGGTGGAACAATCAAGACATTTTCAGACGTCATCTTGCACTCTGGAAAGTTTACAACCATCTACAACCAGGAGACAACAAGCTTACTGCTCCCCGGCAAGAAATAGTCCCCCAACAGTAGACTTTTGTATGGATTACCCAAATCAGATATAACCTAATTAGTGAGCTTTAGAGGTGCTGGTGGATGCATCTGGTTGAGTTTTGGGAAGAGCCAGAGTAGCTTTTTCCTTCTATCTCCAGTCTTTATGCTAAGATAACTGTCTTCTGGCTGTAGCTTTGTATTTAACAGAAGAATTTGAGAGTGGTCACCAAGAAAGGGAATAAACATATTACCAACAATGTCAAACTAATTCTTTAAGCCACAGGTCCCCCTTTAGCGCATACATTTAAATACAATAATACTCCACAGTACTGCATTTTCACCATGAAGCAACACTATGTTTTTCAGGGACCAGCATGACGATAAGCAGCACTTGTCAGCAACCAGTGTGCCAAGACTGTGGGGTGACAGATTATCAAGATAAATACACAAGTGAACAGAAGTGTCAACGTCAGCCATACTGTGACCCAAGTAAGAACATGAGACAAATTAAACAAAACAGGTCCCATTATTGAGAGACTTATGTTTGACGTGGTACAACTCGTGTCTGTTCTTCTTCCAGATAATAACTTCAGGCCTCCTAACCACGTACGCACAGAAAAAACCATCTGCATGTGTAAAGACGGATTTCACTGCTCTGCTGAAGCATGCATAACCTGTGTCCCGCATACAGTTTGTGGACCGGGATATGGGGTTAAATCCAAAGGTACAAAGTGAAACTTTTATTTATATTGAATATAATACGTGATCAGATTTTTTTTTCGCAGTGTGCTAAATCCTGTTTTTGGCTATCACACTTTTGTTTTTCAGGCAATCATTCACGTGACACTGTGTGTGAAAAATGCGCCAAAGGCACATTTTCCAGTGGGAACTCATCGAGCGGAGTCTGTATGAAGTGGACAGAGTAAGTATAGGAACTTCCGATACATTGACATATGAACTGAGAGAGCAGCAGCACTGCAAAAACTTTGCTGAGGTTGTGAGCCTATATTAGCACTATTAGGACTAGTTCATACGATGGGTCTTTTAACCACATCTGGCCGCCATACAGACACGATTGTCTTTCAAATGGGTATGGGGGCGGCTGTGGCTCAGAGGCAGAGAGTGTCATTCCTTAATCGGAAGGTTGTGGGTTCGATCCCCAGCTCCTGGGGCCACATGCCAAAGCATCCCTGGGCAAGATACTGAACTGTGCATCGGTGTGAGTGTGTATGAATGTTAGTTTTTGTTCGATGTGAATGTGGCACATAGTGTAAAAGCGCTTTGAGTGGTCGGAACTGTACAGGTTTACCATAACCGCGCGCACACACTCGGACAATCTCTCCTCAAAGGCATTCATAACCTCACACTGGATTGTTTGATCCCCTAAAAGGGATCAAAGTAGTGTGTTGAAAACTTTCTTACCTCCTCCGGACACCTGGACCCGGGTTTTTTTTTTTTTTAAATTGTTGGATGTTGGATGCCCCCGAATTCCACACGGAAAAGGTTCTGTTTGCGCCAACAAGCACTTTGGTTGCTCACTTTAACCTTAAGCATCTTGCACTGGATTGACTACATTTACATTCAGTCTCATCTCTAAAGAACTAGCAGCTAACTTTTTCAGCAAATCCTAATTGGACATAAAAATGACAAATTGGAGGAAAAACCTGAATAATTAAAGGAAGAAACATAACAAATGCTTCCATACAGGGCACTAAATGGTTTGATGAGTATGAAAATTATGTAAATTGTGTTATGGCCTTCACAGTCAGAGATAGATACGTAACCACTGTTCCTACAGTGGCAAGTTCACATACATTAGTCAAGTGTAACTGACCACATGATCAAATTCGCTAGACTTTCATTTCCTTCAGGCATTGCGGATGCAGCACAAGCTGGTTTTATAAGGTTTCCAGTGAATCAGAAATGAGGAAACCACATTGAATGATGAATAAAATGAGGTTTTGCTGCCTGTTTATCTTTACTAGTGAACATTATCCAGCTAGACTGCAGAAAGAACTTATTTAATTCCCTGTGCCACTCACCGGCTACCAGCTGCCACCAGCAACCTTTAAGGTGGAATGTTTTTTGCAGTTTACTCAATGCATGAGTTGACTGTGTGAATCAATCAGCATACCTTAAATGGCAACATGACAGCTTTGACCATTACATTACATTTTTATTGGCTCTCTTGCATCATATACACTTTAGTGATGATTGGATCTTCAAGCGATTAAAAAGCTTCCAAACTTACAGAAGACTTGTGCCTAGAAGCATTGAAGATGTTCTGGAGACTTCTGTTTTCCTTTCATTTGTTGCCCAGGTGTCTATGCACAATAACATTAGCAAACTGCCGTCTTCTTTTTAGACACTTCAGGACAAATAGTCACCTGAATCTTAATCGTTTGGTCACGATAGGAATTATCCTTTAACACTGTGAAATTCTCTGCAGATGTGGGAATGGACAGCATGAGCGACAAAGCGGAACAGACATATCCGACACCATCTGTGGTAAGTTTTGTGTAGGCGGATGAAGTTTTATCTCTCCCGCTGCAGCTGTGTGGTTAGTGATTGCTATAACGAAACTCTGGAGGCGTTGAGATGGTACATCTTGCTAGTCTATGTTGGTCTGTGGTTTTGAGTGTGTGATTAACAACTTTCACTTACACACTTATCAACACTACATCTGCGTGTACACTCCACTATGTTTGGATTTTTTAGAATGAAAAAGTAAGCATGAAAATCCTATTTTCTCCACACCTTCTTGTTTGTGCTTCTTCTGCTAAGATGCAAATGTGCTACAGGTATGTTTTTCATTGACGTGCTTCCCTGTTGTGGAGGACATTAATGTATTAAGTTCTATATTCTTTTAAATAAATACCTATATTCTACTCAATTGATCTAATTGTCTTGTATTATAGGAAATAATACATCATGAGTGCGGGTTAGACACCAGTGGAAGGATCGATCTGTGCCTAATGGCTTTTTTTTTTTCTTGTCTTACAGAGGAAACCAAACGGAACCATGCTCTCGTGATCACTATATCAATAATTGGTGCCTTATTGGTAATAGTCATTGCTGTACTCATTGTCTGCCGAAAATATGGTACGCTGTACACAAAACACTCTGTCTTATAACATGTTTCATGAGGTAATGTTTCAGTAATCCACTTAATGTACTCATGTTCTCTCTCTTCTTCTTACTTTCGTGATAGGTCAACGAGATGCGAGAGGAAATTTAAAGGTAAATATGATTTTTGTCTTCGTTGTTGACTGCTATATTAGGGCTTGAATCCATATAGTGTTGGGATGAAGGAAAAAAAACACCAGCAACATTATATTGCGGAATATATACTTAAATAAACAGGTGTACTCCCTAAACATGGCAAATGATTGCATTTAAAGTTGACATTCTCTCAAAAAGACTATTTTCTGTGAATGATTATCAACATTCAGTTGATTACTGCCAGCAGCTGACAGGATAAAACAATGTTACACTCGAACATGATGTTAATTTCCCACTGAAGTCTCTTTGTGATTTGCACATTTAAAGGAATAGTTTAGCATTTCTGGAAATACTCACATTCTGCATCTTGCCTAGAGTTAAATCAGAAGATCAATACCACTTATGTATCTGCACACTAAATATGAAGATACGGTCAGTTGGTGATTAGCTTAGCTTAGCATAAAGGCTAGAAAACAGGGAGAACCAGCCAACCTGGGTCTAAAGTGTAAAAACAGCAGGCTATGTTTTGTTTACCTTTGGACAGAGCCCTGGCCAGCTGTTTTCCTTTTGTTTCCAGTCTTATTATATTTTATCTATATTTTAAATGGCATTTTATTTAGGGTCTACAGCACAGTAGTTAGGGGGTTATTCGTAATCCCTTAACCTACATTTTTTTAATCCCCTAAAAGAAAACCAGGTTTTATGTTTATGTGAAAATTTGGAGTGGAGTGATCTGATCAATTTAGTGCATGTGAACATAAACTGTTGTCTTAAATGCATAAGAAATTACTTCCATTACGTACATACATTCCCAAAGCTTAAAAATGAAATATTTTGTATTTCTAATATTTCTATATCTCAACACCGTTTCTCTCTCGTAGGGCTGTGTGGAATCGTGTATGGAAGAAAAGGTGCACCTGCCAGGACACAAACTAATAACACAACCAACCGATAACGAAGAAGAATCCATGTCGCCTGAGATGCTGTCCTCACAAGAAGAGAGCTCTTTGAGGACACCGGTGGAAAACGAGGACGAGCCGAGCCAAGAGATGTCATCGGATATGGGCCAACGTCTCACTGAAAACGGAAACTTTGTGACACAGGAGAATGGGAAAACATACGTCCTCTCCAGACAGGAATCGCAAACTCAAACATTAACAGACTGAAAACAGCTGCCATTAAGGTCTCCATTGTTGATACCAGGGAGTGTAACCTGTTTGTATTGTTGCCTCTATGTTTCAGTTGTACATATTTCTCCACATTAAGTGTTTCCAGTGAATTTAAATGATGTGCTGAAATGACCAAGTTGTAGTGTAACAATATTAAAAGCTAGTGGGCCAGTGAGCATTAGTTTTTAAGTTGGTAGTGTTTTTTTTGGTGGCAGGCTCATATTCACTGTGTGTTTGTTTGAATTATGACAACTTTTATGTCAATTCTTGCATTTTGTACATAATTGTACAAAGGTAAAGATGTGTTACGGCAATGCTTGTGTATGGAAACAGCATGTAATTTAAAAGTGTTTTTATTTGCATTAAAATGTACGGTACTTGACATTTAAACCCTGAGAGTGTTTATTTTCCCTGCTGTGTGTCCGTTTGATGCAGGACTTTAATTAAATTAGAGACAGCTCCCATAATGCTTTAGGGGGTGTAAACAGGAAGTATAACGTTGTGGATTCAGCTGTGAGTTATCGTGTGGGCTGCAGCTTAAGTCCAGTTAGTTTGGCTTGTATTTGTTACGATTTCGTAAAAATTGGCAGCATTAAAAGTGTGCCGAAGTAGCTACAAGCAGCTCCTGTGTCCATTGCACTCGTGTATGTACAGACAGCTGTCACTGCATTACTTTGATACTGAAGAAAACTTAAAAACACGAAGATTCTCAGGCGAGTTCTGTAGTTCTGAGGAGTGATTTCTAAGCGGATATGTGGACGTGTATTCGTGGTGCATTGGAGATATTGGTGTCTTCGGAAAGCGTAAGTCACACTGAATCTAAAAATATGTCTGTCATGTAGGTGTGTTCAGATTGAACTAAGTTATTACTCAATAAAGGAGCCTGGTTTTGGGCGCAAATGGCCGCCATTGAGGGTTTTAAAGTTCCCTTATTTGCTTCCATGAGCTGTGCGTTTTGATAACATTGGCCAAACGACAAGAACTAAGCTACTGTTTGGCTGCACCTGTCGCTTTCACCTGCTCTCTCTCCCCACTGTATTAAAAACATTGCTCTAATGGAAGAAGTCGGGCTGTAGTTACTGGAGATTTCCTCAGAGGGGCGCTAGAGGTTCATGGAGCATCACATTGTGTCTCTACAGTGCCCTTCATATTCTCTAACACTCCAACTGGAAATAGAAGTGTCATTAAGTGGGAATTGTTAAAGTCTGAAACAAAAGCAGCGGTTTTTTCTAAGTAGTTCTTTACATTTTGTTTTGAAGTTTAGTGACATTATATTGTATTCATCAGTGTGCTGTGAGGAAAGGGGGCTCAGATAAGAGCTAATCTTCCCTCTGTGTGTTCCTGTTTGTAGGGATTTGCATGGAGAGGTGAGGCCAGAAGACAAGGCAACTGCATTTCAGGCTGGATTGCTCCCAGGGGCTTTCTCATTATCCCCGGATTAATGGAGGTACAGCCCTTTGAATTTACATGGGAACCTGTGTGATTGATAGTGAAGCCAATCCCCTGAACTCTACTAACACCTTGAACGGCCTGCGGGCTCTGCTGCTGATGGCTCATCTAAAGTGAATTTTACACTGTACCCGAGGGGGGGTGGCTAAAAGAAGCTTCCACTTGCATTCACACAGGGATTTAAGAAATTTGAGGTGTAATATTTTAAAATGTTTAAAGTTAAAGCAACAATTGCTGACCAGAAACCTGAACTTCTAGGGTGGCCGATACTGTTCTTGTACTCATCAATTTACATAAATAAGATGACTTCTCAAGTGTTACATTAGATTATTTGTTAATAATGAAGAAAGTGCTTTCTTCTGTGCCAAGCCTTTGTTAACATAAACTCTAAACTCTGAAATAACTGAAAAAAAAGCTGCAATATGGCTTCATTTGTCCATTTCCTACTCAATATGTTGCCTAAACAAAGTCAAATACACACCAGTGAAACATGTCAGGATTTCGCAAGAAGCTGAACTTTTATTTAAGCAAAAATATTTCTTCATGATTAGACAAAGGAAACATAATTTACAGGTTGGTGATGGAAAAATACATCTACATTTATTTACAATAACATGTTTTTTAGTCTTTGGTCTCAAAACAGATTTTTGTTTTTAAATTTCACTGCAAACTTCAGGAGTTGATGATCAGATCCCTGAGGTTTGAATGTTTAAAGTGCAAAAGGTGTGGACAGTGTCTCTCATTTGAGTCTGAATAGCCGCTCAGACAATTTCATGCGTGGTGTAGCATGATGGAACAAACAGCCCGTTTCTCGAAGCCCACTCAGCCCACAGTTTCCCGGCCGGGTGGTAAATACTGTCCAAAGGTTTCTTCACAGTCTCTGAGGTGGCTGTTTCTGCCAAAGACCAGATTTTGGGTTTCTGGCTGGCAATGTTTTCTTTACTCTCCAAAGCGGATGGCGTGTGATCAGAGTCACTCTTTTCAACTTTCTTGACAAGTGCAAGTTCCCTGTCTTCGTGCTTGCTGCTCGGCTGCACCTCCAAACAACGCGCATCCACAGGTGCCGAGCTGTCCAACGCGCTGTCGACCTGCTCATCCGCGTCTGCGCGCTCAGTTTGAGGTTCTGCCTCATCCCGCTCATCCAAATGGCATTTCTGCAGAGGACCGTCGTCCTCGTCGCTCTCCCCCTCCTGCTCCTCATCTTCCTCATCTGATTTGCCCTTACACGCCCAGCTGACCCTGTTCTCCTTCTTCAGGCGTCGCCTCGCGTTGGCGAACCAGGTGGAGACCTGCGTGAGGCTCATTTTGGTGATGATGGCGAGCATGATTTTCTCACCCTTGGTCGGATACGGGTTCTTCAGGTGCTCGTTCAGCCAGGCCTTCAGCGCCCCGGTGCTCTCTCGGGTGGCCACCTTGGCGACCCTACCGGGGTCCTCGGCTGCTCCCGGGCGGTACGGCGGGTAGAAAGCTCCCCCGCGAGCCAGGAGCGCGTGATGGTAGGGAGAGGCGGCCTTCAAGTCGAAACCGTTGTTCTGGAAAAACAGAAAAAGGGAACTTTAGAGCGAGAAATTACGCACGGAGTCGGCGACCCTTTGACCCAGAGCGCACAATTCAGTGAGTGATACTGGTATACAAAGAAGTGCAATGAAGGAAAATCCTCCTGAATATATTTACATGAGTTCAGTTGATAGGCATAACTTAATTACAGCGCGGTGTGTGAGTACACAGCCTGATGATCATGATCAGTTGTTAAAAGTAGGTTGTAATGATTACCCACAAAGCCTTTGAGTTTTTTTTTTTTTTTTTATGTCATGACTGAAATACTTTTGTGTATGATCAACTCACCATGTGTGTGATGTGCCTGTGGTGTGGATAGGGGATAAAGTTGTATCCTTGTAGTCCTGAGTACGTTATGGGAACCCCAGCTGCCATCGCTGCCAGATGCTGAGCCTGCTGCTGTTGCGAACCCGGTGGGCATCCCAGCACCGGAATCTGATATCCAGTCGGCATGCTGATGTTCCTCTCAAAGAAGAAGTTGCCAAATCCAGTTTGCGATGCGGGCATCTTTCCTGCGTCCCAGCTATTCGAGTTTGAGTGGCAACCCAACCTCCTGGATCTATTTATACACAGTCAGCTGCCAGCGGGTGTGTGCGGGGGGAGGATGGGGGAGGTCCCTCTGGTATTGACTGACAGCTACGTTCAAAAGACCTACAGCTTTCACTGGCAATAAATCCCATCAAAGAAGCCCTCCGCTGTTCCTTTTAGCGTTTTCTTGGAGAGGCTAAATATGTGCTACTTAACGCAACGCACTGATTTCTGGAGAGAGCTGAAGTTTCAATTCAAATGCAACCTTTTTTCTTTGGAGAGGTGAATGAAGACTCACAGAATTAACCATCAGCCAAACAACTTATATTGAGTCTTTTCGTTTTTATCATTAGTCTCAGCACAAAATATGCATTCTGTCTTTTTAACACTTCACATCTCATAAAGAGAAGACTTCACATTTTAAAACATTCCATTTCTATGTTTAAATCGTTTTTATGATGTTTTTATTTTGTTTTCACGACATGGAAGCTCACACCGGTTTGATGTATTTTTTTTATGACGAATCTAACACTTCTCGCGTCTGGCACTAATCGGCGGAGAGCTTAGAAAATGACCTGAATTCAGTTAACAACATCCTGCCAGTCTGCACTGTCGCTTCTGACACTTCATCACCTACAGATCTGTAGTTTTGTGAATTGAATTAATCATCTCAGTCGCATTAAATTATCCTAATAAACACAAAATGTCTTTTACGCACGCGTAAAAGCTTCGCTAAGAAAGATTCCCTCGCATTCTCCAAAATAAACTTCTTGCAGATCTTTAGGAAAATGCATAAAGCATATAACAGTTGTCATTTAGCCTCACAAGCCTCAGAGCTATAGCTTTTTTATTTGTTAATTTATTGACTGAACCATAACAAACTGCCCTTTTACATGTCGGATGGCATTGTATTGGGTGAAGCGCAACGTTTCAATGGCCCTAATTAAACGAGGTTAAGTGAAACAGGTGTTGACTAATGTATATGATAATTGTGAGATAACAGATGCTAATGTTGGTGTGTGTGTGTGTGTGTGTGTGTGTGTGGAGGGGGGGTTGTTAGAGATAAGAGGAGAAGATTACACTTCTTATTCCACTGTCCCCCTTCAAACGAGCCAAAGTTCAGCTCAGTGTTTGAGTTCAAAGGAGCAACACACCTCGCTTATCTTGCATAATTTTGATTATTATATTAACAGTATTAAGAGGTGTAGTGGTACTTTTAAAGGGTGATAGGTAGACACAGCATATTTAAAACGTGTCTATTCGAAACGTGCTGGGATGAAACCTGAAGACGAGTATTAAGATATCACATTTACACTCGTCTCCTTTTAAATTGATTATCCTCATTTATGTTTCAGTTTCGATTATTTTTCCTTCTTTTAGTTGCATTTTATTCCAAATCCAAAATGTAGACTCGACATGTCCAAGTTTATATTTTAAATGCTGTAAGCTCAGGATGCCTCTTTTATTTACTCTATAATTCTCACTCCCTCTGCTTCAGTAAGTGGGGTTTCTTAAGTTGCTGGTCTGCCACCATGACTAAAACTGACACAGTGACATGAGACATGGTTAACTTCAGTAATGTCTCTTTTCAGCTTTTTCTTTGATTTAAAGGCATTTAAAGGACCCTTAATGTTACTAAAACCTGCATGTACAAGTGAGTGGGGGAATTCATTTGTAATGCTTAAGCCTAACATTACCCTAATATGTAAACACACACACACACACACACACACACACACACACACACACACACACACACACACACAATATTCACAAATTTAGAAATCTCTAAAGGTAATTTGGGGTGGTTGCCTCTTTAATTCTATTTTTATAATGATTTGAAACAGTTGAGAAGT